AAAATAATTTTTCGAGCTGTTCCGCTAACGAAAAAAAGGAGCTTTCCCGAATTCTAAACTTTTTCCATCTTTCCGGAAAAGCTTGAGACTTCCAGCTCCAATCATCTTCAAGCTTCTTCTCCAAGAAAACCTCGAAAAACTCAAAATCCACTATCAAAACTCCCATTTTCCGGTCTCCAACCGAGAAAATCCCAAAATCTCTCTGAAAGATACCCGAAGAAGATACTGGTGTCAAAACTACACTAATCTCAGCACTCGATCTAGAGGAAGAGAAAAAAAAGAAGAAAAAGTTGCTGGGTTGCACCTGCCCAACGACACCATCTGCACTGCGGAAGGAGCAACTTTTAGCGTCGCTTTGTCTTTTTTGGGGATAATTTGGAATCCAAAACTCAGAGCATCAACTTATTGAAACTTTATGAGAAAAAATTACCTTTTCCTTCATCATACTAGAAAAATCTTCTATTCCAAACTTCATACGAATCTGTAGAGATTTTAATTTTTTCATTAAAAAATGTAACTTCTGGTACTTTCTGCTTCCAAAAATCTCTTTAGTAGCCACTTAAACTTCTTAAATCCACTTCCAAAGCCCCTCTAGTGATCCCTATATTCTAGATCTCAAGTCCAACACCTAGCCATTCACTTCCAGAAGACAGGGATTTTTTGCCCTTTGGGCTTTTGAAAATCACTTGAGTACCCACTCAAACTCTCTCGAGTCCACTTCCTAGATCCCTATAGTAGTCCCTACATTCTCCAAGCCCAAGAATTCCAACTCCAGAGTCTAGAAAAAAAAACTTTCTGTACACTCTGCTCCCAAAAATCTTTTCTAATCATGGAACCTGATTTATTAGAAAGCTACAATGACCAAAGTCTCAAAAACTATCAAACTCCCATTTTCAGTCCCTCTAGTGACCCCTAAAATGGATTCTGCTCCCGAAAATCCCTTAAGTAGCCACTGTCATCAGATCCGCTCTGAAAAGTACATTTTCCAACTTTTAAACCTGATTTTTTTGGAAAGCTACAAGGACCAAAGTCTCCAAAACCATCAAATCCACATTTTCAATCCCTTAAGTGGCCCCTAAAAGGCCTTCTGCTCCCAAAAATCTTTTAAGTCGCCACTCTCTCATCAGATCAGCTCTGAAATGGATTTTCTAATCATGGAAGCTGATTTTTTCGGAAAGTAGTCGTTAAAATGACCAAAATCTCCAAAACTATCAAACTCCCATTTTCAGTCCCTCTAGTGACCCCTAAAATGCTTTCTGCTTCCAAAAATCCCTTAAGTAGCCACTCTGTCATCAGATCCGGACATTAACCAACTTTTGAACCTTCACCAAAGTCTCCAAATCCATCAAATCCCTATTTTCAGTCCCTCTAGTGACCCCTTAGCATCTCCTCTACCTAATACCTGATTTACCTCTTCGAGCGATTACCCAACCACTTGTTTACCAATTATCGCCTCCAAGCTGCGCTGCTCAAACATTGAAAACGATCAAGAAATTGGTTATTGACCCATCTCGATAACCGGCCAAAAGTTGCATAACGGCGAAGCCGGTTGACCGTGAATAACGTCGAGGATTACCGGGAAGGAGCCGCCAAATATTTGCCACGAGAGAGTGTGACTTCCGAGGAGGGATTAGAGAAACCGATCAAAGATGACATAATCAAGTGTCAAGACGGATTGGGTTGAGACACTGCTACCAGTACTAGCAAAGGAATTTGGGCGGGTTACGGTAGTTTTAAGCTTACTGTAGCTTATTTTGAACCAAAAACAAAATAATTGATTTGAAGACATTATAATTTAAAAACTCTGTGAAGAAATTTCAAAAAATCAGAAAGTTTTTGAGACTTTTCTAACTTTGCTTTACTTCTACCAGTCCTTGACTAAGAATTTAGGTGGTATACTGTAGTCTCAGAGTTACTGTAGTCCCTTTTAAAAGTTTGAAACGTAGTACAGAAACATCATGGTAAGAAAAATGTTTTCAAAGAAATTTTAAAAAATTGGAAACTATCTAGACTTTTCTACTTTCCCGCACCCTGCTACCAGTACTAGCAAAGGGATTTAAGGGAGATACGGTAGTCCCAGGGTTACTGTAGCTGTTTTTTTAAGCCAGAAAGGTCTAAATTAATGATTTCTCCGTTGAAAAATATTGTAGTTAGAAACCGGTTTGTAAAAAAGCTTCCACAAAATTGAAAACTTTGTGAATTTTACAATTTCACTATAGCTTTTACCTGTAAAAGGAAAGTGATTTAGATGGGATACTGTAATCCTGGGGTTACCGTAGACCTTTTTTAAAGAGTTTAGTTATTTTTGAGACTATCCTGACTTTACTTTCACTCCTACCATTCTTTGACGGAAAATTTAGGTGACATACTGTAGTCCATGGGTTACTGTAGTCCTTTTCAAGTGTTCTGGTTCAAAATTTCAAACCAGGAAGTTCAAAAATCAATGAAATATAAGTAGAAAACTGTTTGGAAAAAAATGTCACGTATTCGGGAAGTTTAAGGCTCCTACTTTTTAATTTCAGGTAGGATACTGTATCTCTGGGGTTACTGTATTTCGTTAAAGGCGAAAAATGTCGATTTATTTGTTCATGTGAATAAATCTATAACTAGAAAAACTGAGAAAGAATTCATAAAATTTTGAATTTTCGAGCTTTTCCTTGTCTAGTTTCAACTTTTTTTTAAATTTTTATTTTCAAAACTTTCAGACTTTGGAAAATATCGTAGCTAATGTTGATCAAAATCAAATTTGAACTTTCCTTAACATAAAAAATTGAAAAAAGTACCTGAACTTCTCGAAGCCAAAAATCACGGCTTTTCTCGTTCACTGACCAATTAGGTACCTGAAAAATTTTTTTTCATAAATTCACTTTTTTAGACCAAGTTTTGAACAGAATAACATACAGTTCAATAAATTTTTTTCCTTGGAAATATAATAAACCTAAGAATCTACCTCACCCCCAGAAAGTTTCCCATTATGAAAAATTTCTTATCAGACCTGTTTGGTAATTTTATTAAGATATATTATTTTTATGAATGTAAAAATGTTTTTAAATTAAGTTTTAATTTTTTTCACATAACCTAACTGAAAATTCAAAAAGTCTTTTTTATTTTAAGGTATCTATTTTTCAAGACACAAGAAAGTTCTATACTACCAATTTTATTCGGAAAATCATCAAAATGTTTTCAGGAAACAGTAAGTCGCGTAAATAATCGAGAATCAAGAGCTCTCGACTTTCTAATCCTCTCGACACAATGTCGCGCCATCGCGGTCTCAAGTTTGAGCCGCCAAGAAAATAAAAAGAGCAGCCCCCGACCTGATGCGAGTTGCGCAATATGGGCGCCGCCAAAAAGCCACTTCAATTGTTTTCTAATTGACTGACTCAGTTAATGAGTGGATGAGGTCATCGGTTCCTTCCCACCTTGGAAATATTGAAAGATTTTGGGGATTTTATTATTTTTTTATTAAATTATTAAACTGAAAAAAATGGAGATTTTCCGAACATACTTATTTAGATTTGCAAGATCACAGTGACTTTTCTAGGCTTATAAAAATAACACAGTAACCCTGGAATCGAAAACCGCCATTTTTTCTCTTCATTCTGGAAAAAAGATAGTTTTCAAAAGATTTCAGGGACTTTATTATCGAAAACTGAATTTTAAAGTGAAATTTTTCGAATTCGTTTTTTTACGTTTTTTAAAATACTACAGTAACCTTTCCGGGTTATAAAACTACTACAGTAACTTTTCCGGGTTATAAAACTACTACAGTGATTTTTCCAGGTTATTAAAATACTACAGTAACTTTTCCGGGTTATAAGATACTACAGTAAACTTTCCAGTTTATAAAACAACTACAGTAGCCTTTTTTTAGGGTCAGTATTTTTTTACTACAGTACTTTTTTTTGGGTTATAAGATACTACAGTAACTTTTTTTCCGGCTGATAAGATACTCTAGTAACTTTTTTTCCGGGCTATAAGATACTACAGTAACTTTTCCGGGTTATAAAACTACTTCAGTAACTTTTTCGAGTTATAAAAATACTACAGTAAATCTAGGACTTTCCTTTCTCAAAAATTGCTGTTTTTCATTTAAAAAAATAATGATTTTCGTGCCATTACCAGATTTCAAGAAGGATGAAACTATACATTTTTAAACGATAAAAAGTATTTTCGTTTAAAAAAATAACTCTTCAAGATCAAAGTTAATTTTAATTTTAAAACCTGTATGCACTCCTAATATTCCCTGAACGGCCTTCAAAAATTCCAATCGAAAAAATCTTGGTTTTTTCTATTTTATTCAAAGAAACCGTGACAATTGACAACAGATCAATCATTGGGGAATCCCTGACCGCCGTCGACCTCATATGGAAATTGATTGAACCGAGCCTATTGTAGTGTGATTTTGATGGGTTCAATGAACCGTAAAAAATGGATGGAAATGTACGATTAATAGGAGAAATTTCAAAAGTCCTTATTTTTTGGAAAAACCTCATAACCGTCTGAAAAAAATCTAGTCTTATATTGAATTAAAAAAATCGAAAGTGACGATATTTTTTTCAGTTTTTCATTTTTTTTTAACGAATAATTATCAAGTCGTGAAGATCTCTATTGTAGCTCAAAAAAAAAAACTAAATTTTCAGAAAAATGAGTCACAAGTTCTCAATAGTCTGATGTCTGGGAACACTTTAATGGCCACTTCAAAAATCACTCAAGTTATCATTCCAGCCTCATGTAACCGTCCATCAAGGCCTAACTAAGCCTAGAACTTATAAATACAGACATTCTAGTCCAAACCAGTTCTGAACTTTTTCTATCATAAGATTCCTCAAGCCAAAAAGCTATCTTTCTGAAACATTTTTTTTAAATGATCAGCGACGCTCTTCTGATCATCACCAGGTTCATTTAACACAGGTAGGAACTTGTAAAACACGACCATTCCACTCCGAAATCAGTTCTGAACTTCTTATTGTTGCAAAAGCGCGCTTCTCAAGGCTCAAAATCTACTCAAAACCGTCGGAAACTTTTTGGCACGGCGCCAGGCCGGTCAGAGCAGACGCAGAGCCACATGGCAGACGAGCAGAGACGCCGTCACGAAGAAGGGCTACAAGATGGCGCAAGTCGCTGCCAGTCGGCTGTACAACTACAGGGGGGTATAAAAACCAGGGGACAAGCTGGTCGGAACGGGGGCTCAGCCTCTGGCTCTGCCCCCCTTTCAGGTCTCCGATCCTGTCATTTCAAACCGCAACCACCAGAAAAAAAGATAAATTGAACATAAAAAAACTGAATTCACACTGAAACATCTCAAAAAACAAAAAAATCTGGGGGTTGCAAAAGATGTTTCTAATCGAATTCAGCAAAAAAACCGAAAAAAATACTTTCCATAAAAAAATCTCAAAAAAACCCCAAGGCGGTCCGGATCCGACTTCCAAGTTAACCTTGGAATGCCGAGCCTAACTTGACCGCCTTTTTTTGCGCCTTCTTTTTAAAAGTTTAGAAGCCATTTATAATTAATTATAAAACCTTCCAGTAACTCTGATAATTTTAAAACAAACAGTTTGGACCAATTATGTTGATCCATTGACCCCTAAAGTGGCCACTAAAATTTTTAGTGGTCTAGTAGTAGCTTTCAGACCTTTATAGTGGCCACTAACTTTCAACCGCTCAAGCGGCCACTTATTTGACCACTATAATTGCCACTAAAAAGTCAAAACCTTATACTGGCCACTAAAAATTTTCCCAGTATATCTTGTCATAGAATATCGAATAAACTCGAGTGAAAATTAACCCCTTTCTTTTCTTTTCAAGCTTTTTATTATTCTACTCCATCGTGTCAAGCTAACGGAAACGCATCGTTAAGTCGTGGGATACCATTTGACGAACGTCGATTTTTGACAAATGGAATGGTCCAAAACGGGTCAGACTGTCACTTGTATGGTAATGTGTCGGAAACGGCTGGAATGCCAATTGACCAAGGCCAGGTGCGATCAGTTAATGTCATTTCCTTTGTGTGAGAAGTGTTAGTTCAATAAATAAACTATGAATACTAGGGGACGGTAGAACGGTCCCTATAGAGATTCGGGGAAAACAGCGACCATGTCGCATGCTTTAAGGCCTAAAAAAAGACCCAAATCAGCCTTCTCAACGTCTTCTGAACTAGTGAATAATTCTGATGACTAGCATCTCCCATATTACTGTAACGTTCCTAATCTTCTTTATATCAATGATGTCTTGGAACTTGTAATGGACAACTTTCTTGCATAGAACACCATATTTTGTAAACCTTTAAATGTCTGTCAGCAGCCTGCTGGAGGGCTTCTGGCAGAAATTTTCCTTTTTCACCATCCAACTACCTTCTGAAAATCCCAAGGCGTTCTCAAGACCTTCCACTTTCCTGCTGGTAAAATATCTGTCAGCAGCCTGCTGCAAGACTTCTGGCAGACATTTTCCTTTTACCTTCCAATTGCCTTCTGAACACTTTGCCAGAGCCTTCTCAATACCTTCCAGCTTCCATTCACCTTCCACCTTCCCGCTGGTAACCTTCCCAGGATTCACCTGAGCGCACTTTCCCTGTACTACCATGACTTACATCCACCCCTAATCCACCTTGTCATTAAACCCCAAGCTTTGAGGCCCAATTCCCAGGCGAATCAACCTCCTTAACGTCTTCTGAATTTGTGAATTGTGATGACAAGCATCTTCCATCTTACTGTAACGTTCCTAATCTTCTTTATCTCAATTATGTCCTGGAACTTGTAATGGACAACTTTCTTGCATAGAACACCATATTTTGTAAACCTTGAAATGTCTGTCAGCAGCCTGCTGGAAGGCTTCTGGCAGACATTTTCCTTTCTCATCATCCAACTACCTTCTGAACATCTTCCTTAGGCCTTTTCAATACCTTCCAGCTTCCATTCACCTTCCACCTTCCCGCCGGTAACCTTCCCAGGACTCACCTGAGCACACCTTTCCCGTACTATCATAACTTCTATCCACCCCTAATCCTTGTCATTAACCCCCATAAACAAGCTTTGAGGCCCAATTCCCAAGCGAGTCAACCTCCTTAACGTCTTCTGAAGTATCCCTGACGCCCAGCGGGAAGTCATGTCATGTCAGGTGTCACGTCCTAATACTACCACTACAAACTGCCCCGGAAATACCCATGAACTAAAGTTTGCGCAACACCGTTGAATGAAGGAAACGGAAACTCGTCGACGACGTCGTCTGATGATGATGATGAGGGTAATGATGATGACAGGTGTGAAGGCGTCATGCTGGGATCGTGAAAACTTTCTGGTTAAGGGGGGAGAAGAGGTGAATGGGGGTGAACTGGCTGGTTAGCGTGTCGGGTCCGGTTTGGACTTATCTTTTTATAATTGGATCTTTTCAACTTAAGCAATTAATTTAAAGTTCTGTGCGAAATTATCTATAGTTCATTCATAGCAGACTTCATAGAGACCATTGATACAGGGTGCAGAAAAAAATATTTCGACATTTATGTACTTTTTCCAAAAGTAAATTTTTTAAATCTAGCTTTAACAAATGTGAACTGGCATCTACACAGCCAAAGTCCAAACGACCTCAAAAAAACCTTAAAAATGACAGTCTAAAGCTTCTTTTTGAGCTCCTAAAAGGGTGTCAAAAGTTTCTCGAAATCTCCTTTTTCCGCCTCATTTTTATCTCTCCTTAAAAGGTCAAGAAAAAAGGTTACAAAAGTTCTTTTTGAGACTATTTGGAATTCCGTGTAGTTCATTCATAGCTTGTTTATAATGAAAAATTTAAAAAAATTTTGTTAAAATAATAGAGACAGTGAGCAAAAATTAAGAGCTTTAGACATCTCTGTATTAATTTTTGTCTCCAACAACAAAATGAGAAAATTCTTTTTTTTGTTTGAAACTTTTTTCCCAGCCATCTGCGTCTCCCACCAACTGATTTTTTTTTCTCCTGATTGTTTACAAAAGTTGAGGCTGAGAAACAATACCAAAAAAATGGCAGCTGGCTAGGGACCGCAAAGCCACGCCCCTTTTCGCGATAGAAAAAAAGTGGCTTTTTGGTTTTCAACTTTCATTTTGTTGTAGTTGCAAAAATATGTGGAACTGGCTAATAAAAATTTGACACACATGTACAGAAAAAGCTTCCTCTTTCGTTTAAAAAAATATTTCACGCTTTTTTTGATGCGTTCTCGCGGAATGTCGTACAAAAAAACGTGAATGGAACTAAAAAAATTTTTTGTCATTTTTTTGCTTTTTTTCGTGTGTTTTTCAGGTCGAACGCACTCTTTCTTTTTTTAAATAATGATTTTTGATTCAAGTAACGGTAATTTTAAAACAATAAAAATAAAAAAATTCGTCTTTGCCAAAAAAATTTTTAGGGAGTGCCGAAAGTCATGATTCAAAAATATCGTTAATAAGCGAATATAATCGAGTTTTTTTGTTTTTAAATTTAGACCATGGGCTTACTTAAATATTTCTCCACAGAATATGTGCTTGAAAAAAAGTTGTTTAATACACAAAAAAATGCTCTTGAAACTAGAGAATAAAAATTAGCGGCGTTTATCACACAGAAAGCGGTCGAACGCAGGTTTTTTTAAAACGATTATATACATTTATTAATAAAAAAATCTTTCAATTAAAAGAATAAAAATAAAAAAATTCGTCTTTGCCAAAAAAATATACGGGGCCGTTTTAAGGCAGCGATCGTTAAACGAGGAAATAAGCACTAAAAAACAGTTTTTTCGAAGTGAATTTCCACGGAAGGTTTGAGTAAAGATTTGCGAACATATTCTGAAAAAAATAGCTAAATTTCTTCAAGTTTTTCTTTTTGAAATAGGCAATCTGTGCTATTCAAACGGCTCAAGGCTATGTCGGATGGAAGCTCCCCTCGCTATACCTAACAGCTTGGCGCAGCGCGTGCGCTGCGATTTTTCATTTTGAGGTCGCGAGTTCGATGCCCGCAATCGTCAGTTTTTTGTTTTCTGGAAAATACCGACTTTTTCGGCAAACTAGCTGATGAGCATCATTTTAGCACTCTATTATGATTTGTTACATCATAATAGACCAGTATCAAAACTTGTTCTAGAAGAAAAATCGAGAAAAATGTCAAAATGGATAATACCAAAATTTCAGTACTAAAAAAATGGTGCGCGGCGCGCCACATTTTTCGTCATAACTTTTTTCATCCGCAATCTTTTTCGAAAAACTAAACGGTTCTGAGTTTTGAATCGGAACAGCTATCAAACCATACAAAGATCAATGCTGAAAAAATTTTTTTGAAAATTCGTCTGCGGTCCCTACAGCTGGCTCATGACTCAGTGGTACTGGAAAAACAATAAACGGTATCGAAATTCAATTTTTATCGAGTTCTCTACAGCTATGCGGGTAAATTAGGTAAGTTTGAGTTTTTGAAAGTCGAAAGATTTTTTTTTAGAAACTTTTTTGAAAGTCATTGAGTTTTTTTAAGTGGGGTCTAAACAGTTGAAGAAAAATATTTTTCAAGGCGGTCAAAAAGTCTCGAGAAATGATGAGTCAAAGTTGCTCTACGGATAAACACATGTCTAAATTGGTAAATCATCGATTTTGCTTATTTTCATTTCGAATTTCTAAAATTTCTATCTACCAAAAAATATCAATTTTTCTTAAAAGACCTCCAAAAAATCAACAAAAGCCACCCAGAATCCATATATTTCCTTTTCAATAGAGCCCACAATAAGTTCATTAGTTCACACTCTCAATGGAGCATAATTGCCGGTTACGATCGAGGTCCACAGGTGTCACAAAACTATTCATCCGGTGTAGAACAAAAAAAAAAGGTGGGAGATTTCGATAGCTATTATTTACCGGAATGCGAGGTCAGTTGGATCATTATGGTAGATTTTTTGACAGAAAGTCCCAATTTTTTCAACTTCCATCAAAAATCCCACTGAGTAACCGTTTCGAAACCTTACAAACAAATAAAAATCAACCCCAGGATCTCGAAAAGACCTGACATACAGGTGCCACTAATCCACGTGCTCCTTGTTCAAGTGCGAGCCTCTCTTTTTCTGATTCCACTTGTGGTTAGAATCCGCGGATTTGGTCATACCACAACTCCACTTGAAAATCGACCCGGATCAGTGTCATTTTAACAGGAAAGAGGTTACGATCTACAGTAGGAAAAGTACTGTATCCATTTTTTTTTTTCGAGATGAAGGCCAAAAAGGTACTGTAGGTCTAATATTCAATAAAATTGATGTAATGCTTACCTTTGAGGGATTTTACTGATTCGAGTTACCGTAAGCTTCATATCCTACTGTAGGATCACTCAGTATACCGTACACCTTTAAAGAATTCTTCTATACAAAAAATCCTTTGCTCGAAGAAAAAGTCCAGGAAACCCGAGAACCCTCTCAAAGTTACCGTAACCTTCAACCCTACTGTAAAAACTGTACTTTTCCCCTTGCACTAAAATATTGTTATCAGCTCCAACAAGTAGGCCAGGACTTCAAAAAACTTCCTCTAAGCTACCGTAATCTTCAGTCTTACTGTAGGACTTCTCAATACAAATATTTTGATCAAATAAAGTTTTCTGCACGAAATAAACAGTCCTCTTTGCATTTAGAACTTGCTTGTTAGTTTTTAAATTGATCATGAAATATTTTCCAAGTTACCGTAACCTTCCCTCTTACTGTAGGACTTCTCAATACGAATATTTTGGTCAAATAAAGTTTCCTGCACGAGATAAACAGTCCTTTTTGCATTTAGAACTTGCTTGTTAGTTTTTAAATTGATCATGAAATATTTTCCCAGTTACCGTAAGCTTCCCGTCCTACTGTAGGACCTCTCAATACACTGTACAATTAAGGAGGATCCCTTTAATGATTGTCGTAAATTGCGCAACGGGTGCGTACTCCTTGCGCGCAATCGCGTGCTCAAGAAACATGACGTATCAATCAAACTACCGTAATCCTTGTTTTGCATTCCATCCACGCTAATTTTTCAACAAAGGCTTGCATTTTTAAATCGTTTTTTCGAAATATTTAATGATTTTCCATTTTCAAGATTCTGTATTGAACCTCGTTCCGTGCCGGAAAATTCAAAACTCGAATTAGACAAATTAGTGCTCAAAAATCACAGGTGCGAAGGGGCGACAATGCTGGACAAGAAAGGGCCTCGAGAAGAAAATTGCTCATTTACTGTACCCGGCAATTTCCGGGTCAGCCACCATATTTAGAGCTTAACATGCTTCTAATGCAAGGTTTGTACTAGAGGAGAAGTCTTATCTCGTTTTGTGAGTGGTCCTTTAAGAGCTTATCGAAGAGATCCCTTAAGGGGAATTTTTAGAACGTTGTATTGAAAGGCTCTACTTGCTTTTTATACATTAGCTCTGGAAGTTTTGTTTTAAATTTCAAGAGATCCTTTAAGAGCTTATCGAAGAGGCCACTTAAGGGGAACTTTCCGGATGATTTCATTGAAGAGATCAGCGTACCAGGTGCATTGATTTTGGAATTTTTATAGAATTTCAAGTGGTCCTTTAAGAGCTTATCCAAGAAGCCACTCAAGGGAATTTTCTAGAGGGTTTCATCGGAGAGGTCATCGCACTGTTTTCATTTTTTTTTTTGGGAGAAAAAAAAAATTATCCTTGGAAATTTCATCTAAGGGGTCACTTTAGGGGAAATCTAGATAGTTTATTGAAGAGTTATACCATACTTGATGCATTTTTTTTAGAAAAAAATACTCTCTAGATTTCTAAGTGGTCCTTTGAGAGCTAATGGGAGAGGCCACTTAAGGGAAGCTTTAGGTTTTAGAGAGACGTTCCATGCATTTTTTTAGAACGAAGATATGTTCTATTTGGATTATCAAGTGATCCTTAAAGAGCTTATCAAAGATGTCATTTAAGGGGAACTTTCAGAAAGCCTCCCGGAATTTTTTAAAATTGATTTTTCTGATCTTTAGGTGGCCCTTTGAGAGCTTATCGAAGAGGTAACTTGAGGGACAACTCAGCCAAGTTATTCCAACGTTTATAAGCTAATAAAATCCCACCAGGTTCATTATCTAATCTCTCAGAATTGCTCAACATGGAAAAACCTTTAAATATTCTTCCCAGACCGATGATTCCTGAATTTTTGAATAAAATACCCCTCTCAAGACCAAATTTCTCAAAATTTCCTAAGGTTCCATGTCCTCAATCGTCAGGGGACCAATATAAATACCCTCAAAATTTATATCCACTTTTATTGAAGATTACCGGAATCAACAAACCATAAACGGGAGAGCCGAGCCATTGTTTCTTTCCATAAAATCGGCCCCTAAACGTTAATTTACGATCGCCCACGTGCGCGGAAACGAGGATATTAGGTTGGATAGGTGGAAAAGTTTTGATTCAAGTTTTTGAAGATGAAAATCAGTACTTCTTTTCGAGTAAGTCACAAAAAAGTAATTTGCTTTGAAAATCAATAAAGCTGTTGAATTTCGCTAGAAAAATCAAATTTTCTCCAGACTTTTCCTAGTTTTTCATGATTTTCGCCACTTTAACTATCGAGCTTCAACCCGAACCTTCTATAACCAAGCTTTCAAATATTGGAAAAATTTTGAAAACTTGGTTTAAAGTTCATTTTGCAAGCCTAAACGCCTCATTGAGCACTTACCAGGGAAACGGTCTCTGGTAAGTTTGAATCAGACCAAGTTTACTAGATGTAACTTTCCTTGCTGATTCCAAATCTGGTCTCAGAAACTGCCTCGGAGGTCTTTGAAAAAAGTTATGGACCCTCAAAAGTCGAAAACTTCAGTGTCTCTGATTGGGCTCAATTTTTGGAGGGTATATAGTCCTTGTTTCCCCGGTCACGGAAAAATATTTGATTTTTTGGAACAGCTTCTGGAGCCCAAAAAAACCGTCCAAAAAAAAGCTCAATCGGAGACATGGTGGTATGAAAAAAAAGACCAGCGAAAAATTGAACGACGACTTTTCCGATTTTTTCATATCGCTAGGAAACTTTCCGACGAAATTTTTTCCGACTTTTTTTCCCGATAAACTCCGTTTCAAATCTTCCTATACAAAGTAGGTAATTGGTTCAGGATTAAAACACAAAGAAATAAGAAAAAATTGGTAATAAAAAATGTTTTATAAACCGAAAAACATAAGGGAAAAAAGACGGAAAGAGATCCGTCGGAAAGTTCCCTAGCGATATGAAATAATCGGAAAAATCCCCGTTCGAAAACTTGTTGGCTTTTTTTAAAATACCACCGGAGACATCGAAATTTTCGACTTTTGAGGGTCCATAACTTTTTTCTCAGGCTTCTGAGACCAGATTTGGAATCAACGTGAAAAACTACATCTAGTAAGCTTGGTCTCATTTAAAAGTCCCACTGCCCCTGGTTAGGATAAAACTAGCTCAACAAAAAATTTCTCGTAAAAAATCCGGGGTCTCTCTACTTCCAGTCAAGCTCACAGCCTATAAAGCTCGAAAAAATGACTCGGAGCCGAATCCGACACAGTCATGACCTCATTAATCGGGAATCTGGTCGGAATACAATGAGAAAAAAAACGGGTGCCGCCACTAATTAGGAGATAGTCGGCAAGTCTGACAGTCCCCTCTTGAAGACCCACTTTCGGTGGACCTCTGAGGAGAGCAATTAAGGCGATCCGGAGCCGTGTCTCCGGCTCAATGGATGAAGCTCAATGAGCCAATAAGCTGTCTACAGCAGGAAGCGGCCTTCTTTTTTTGGAGGTCACCGATTGGATCGGCGATTTTTTCCTTTATATGGGGTTGGGTTCATTTTTCAAGTTGATCTCAAAATAGTTCTACAAAGCTTTCTAAAAAGTTTTTTTTTTATTTTACGTAACGGTTGGGATTTTCCTGAGAATTGGCCAGAACACTCCTTGATTTACCAAAAGAAGATTCTGAAAGTCTCAACCTGCACAACTTTCCAGTTTTCCAAAAACAAGGGTCTAAAGTCCAAAAATAGTCATTTTAATGATTTTTGAGCGCTTTTATTGAATTTACTGTGTTCGTTAAAATCTCAAAATCCATAAAAATAGGCTATTTTGAGGCTTTGAGCCCTTATTTCTCGAAAAGTAGAAAGTTTTGCAGATCGAGACTTTCAGAATCTTCTTCTGGTACATCAAGGAGTGGCCAATTTCCAGGAAAATCCCATCCGTCAAGTAAAATGACCTCTCTTGTAAGGCGACCTTAAGCTTTATTTCTTTTTCATGTCTGTTTTTTCCAGCCTGTTCTCATTTACATAATTTCTCAGGGTACTGTAATTATTCTAACAAGAATGGGCCAAGAAAAACCCAAAATTTTCGATCTGAATTTTTCAAAAATCATTTTTCCTGCTTTTCAATGTAATCTTAGGCCTTTTTATTCTTAAAATTGAGCATAAAAATAATAAAAAGTGTCAGATTAGAGTCTCAACTGAAACTTTGTTAACTTTAATCGATCCCTAGCAACTTTTAATGACAATTTAGGTACCAAAGTTCGATCCCAAACGCTTTTTTGCCGGTTTTTTTGCGACATCATTTCATGAGCTTTTTTTAAAAATTTTTTTCTTTAAAAAAATCTTATTTTTTTGAAACAAAATTCAACGTATCTTATCTAAAAACTCCATATTGACTCCTCAAAGCCCCCTACCCCCCAAAAAAAGGTCAAACCCAAAGCTCGCATTTTTCCGCCCAGTGGAAATAGGTGTCCCTATTGGACAGTTGCCAACCCCTTAATTATGCACGAAGCTGAAATGGACGTTTCTTCGTCACGCTATCGTTTTTGACCGTTGTTGGGTTGAAAAAACAGGTTTTTTTTTACATATTTTGATGGTGGAAAATTGATAAATTGGGGGTTGAAAAAGTCAGGAAAAGCTTCATTTCTGAGCTCAAAAATCAAAAAAGTCACCAAAAATGATATTATTTGTTCAAAAATCGTTGCCGACATGTTTAAAAGACCTTAAAGACCTTAAAAACTTTTTTTGACCGTTGTTGGGTTGAAAAAACAGGTCTCTTGAATATTTTGAGGGTTGAAATTTGATAATTGCCATTGACTTTTAGGTTAAAAAACAGAAAAAGCTTCATTTTAAAGTTTAAAAGTTTCCAAAAACAATATCATTTGTTCAAAAATCGTTGCCGACATGTTTAAAAGACCTAAACGACCTAAAAAAAAAACCACTAAAACCCCATTTTTCAAGAATTTTATGAAGTTAGCCCATGCTCCTTTGACCTTCTCTTCATAGGCTTTCCAACAAAATCTACAAATTCTCAAGTAAATTTCCGAATTAACCATTCCGCTGTTCCGTTTTTAAACAAAGAGACCGGACCAAAAAAGGGAAAATGGATGGATTACCGCATTAAATTGCGTCGTCCGAAAAAAAAAAAAACGACTGCGACACACTGAGTGACCACCAAATTAGGCATTCTTGTTTGAATTGGGCTGGAAAAAGAGGATTTTTGGGCATTCCGGGGATATCTAATACAATAATTGATCAAAAAGATCGAAAAAAAAATTTTTTTTTTCGCTCCGTATCAAAACATTTCACTGCGCATCAACTCTTTGTCAAAGACTCGAATGAACGTCGAGATCAAAATTTTTTTTTCTTTATGATTTTATTGAAACGTAACATTCAATCCTTTTTATTATTTTATTCAGTCAAACTCGTAGGAAACTTGAAAGAGAACATTTGTTGAGATTCGCGGAAAATCAATAAATAATAATATAACAAGGAGAAATTGCACACCGGTGATTTTCTGAAGACAAAGAGGTATGAAATAAATGAACAAAAGCTTTTGAAGCCAACAAAAAAATGGTTAAAATTTCACTGAGCATCAACTTTTCGTTGGTTTTTGTTTCCAAGTCGTTTATTTGAGCTGGGAAAAAAATCAGGAGGTTTACCGGGGTTTCCTTGAAAATTAGTTTAAGTAGGACCTCTAGAAACTATTTTTGAAGTTCACAAACTATCAAGTTTCTTTTTTTTAAAGGTCTCTTAAGCTTCAGGTACATTAAAAATGAAGTAAATAGCTCAAAATCTCTCCGAAAAACTGACAGAATTTTCTCACATACCCTCAACTTCATGCCAAACTTTTTTCCTTTCATTTTTTAACCCGAAACTCCCAATTTTCCACCAAAGTTGATGCTCAACTCCTAGCTAAAATCCTCATAATACAAATCTCACTGCATATAACCAGAATACTTAACGTCATCATATGAACTATAAGAAGAATCGCTGTAAAAACTTGAATTGGGGGAGTGTTTTTGGAGGGGAGCCAGGCCGTAATTTGGAGTATCGTAGTAGGGGGAGGTGGAGGTGGACGTCGAATAGTTCAAACTATGGGGATGGTGGTAGTGAGAGGAAGAAGACGTGGGAGCCGACGACGTCGGCGGCGGGAGGTGTTGGGACGTCTGGGCGCAGAAGGCCGAGGTGACGTCATCGCCGAGCACCGTTTGCAGGTATTGGATGTACCTGGCGGCTTCTCGGAGGGTTTCAACTTTTGAGAGCTTTTGCTTGCAGCCGGGTTGACGTGGGACTCGGTCTCGGAGGCGGTTGAACCCTTGGTTCACCTGGAAAAATGACAATATTGAGTGGAAAGGTTCACGAAACTTGTATTCTTACATTGAAGATGCAATAAACAGTTTTTTTTTTTAAACAGTACAAGAAACAGAAAAATAATCATAAAACACTTTTTTTTCAATTAATAAAGGTAAGCTGTCACTATAAAAAAATCGAAAAAAATCACAAAAATTAAAAATTAAAAAGATTCAAAAAAATTCGAAATTTCAGTTTGAGTCATTTTTTTGTTCGATTTTTTTCTCATCGAAATCGATAATTTTAATCAATATGAAAAATCGTCCCTTCGAAATTTTTTTCACACAGTCTTTTGGCATACTTTCCACAATCATTCGACTTCAAATTTTATCAATTTTTTAAAAATATTTCTATCAAAAAATAAAGTAATCAATGAAACTTCAAGGCTTACAACAAAAAAATGAACAAAAAAATCGTCAAGTTAAGGTTTTCAAATGAACTCTCTTATGTTATAAAATGAGCAAAAATTCAGAAAGTTATAAGAAAAAAACTAAAAAAAAGAAAAATCTCATCAAAAAAAAAAATTTTTTTTTGACAAAATGTTTGAACCCCTACTACACGAAAAAAAAACCCGATTTCAAAAAATACAGAAAATTCAAAAAATCATAAAAAAAAAGAAATATCTAACCTGATCAACACGTTTCCGCTCCCTCTCGTTGCGCTTCAGCTTCTGAGGCACGTACTTTGGGGTCGATTTCTTCATCTCCATGGATTCAGAAGGCGTTGAGCTTTTCGTAAAAGCTTCAGAAGGCGTTAGAATATTCAGAAGAGGTGGTAAAAGTTCTAGAAGAGTTCTGGAGTCTCCAGAAGACGTTGAGCTTATCGTAGAAGCTTCAGGCTCTTCTAATCTTCCGAAGCAAGAAATTCAGAAGACGTCAAAAATAGCAAAAACAGATGACGTTGATAGTCACGACTGTATCGGGGGAGCGCACTGAGGAAAGACTGTCCGAGGAAGGGGGCGGGGCCGGTTTGGCGCGCGCGCGCCAAAATAGGCGTGGCTCTTTCCATCAGGGATTATTGACCGAATGACCTTTTATGGTATAAACCCATGGTTATGGGATTTGTGTTCGTTGTTTGCTGGGCGGATAACAAGTGGTTTTCGTGGATGAACAAACATGGATTTGAGGAGAGTTGATGCGCAGCGAATTTCGTGTGAAAAAAAGCTTTGAGCGGAAAAATGAACAAAATAATGGAGAGTATAATTCGGCGCAAAAGAAAATGAGAAAATTTCAAACCAGCGGCATTGGGAATGGTTGAAAGGTACTGATTGACAGCTGATGCGCAGCGAAATAGAGAGGGTTTCAAAAAAGGAAAAAGTACTTAAAATCACTCGAAATATGCTTAAAAATCCAAATTCAAGATTTCAAATGGTTATAAAAATCAATTTAGCCTCAAGAGAATCAAAATTTGATAAAATACCTCAAATAATGAATTATACGGGGGCTAAGTCTAAGCCTGTCGAAAAGTCCATTTCTCTGATGATCCTATTTTTCCCAAATCCCGAAATTCCGACAATCCGATCTCATTCTACCGATCCCAATCCATTCCTATCACTTTACTCGTTCCTCCATACTTCAAACTTTTTTTCCCCTTAAAAAAACATTCATTTCTCCTTCGCAATGTCTCTGATTGACCCGAGTCGATTAACAAAGTGACAATTGAGATGTCAAGAAGAGAAAAGGAAGAAAGAAGTAGATTGACTACGGAAAACGGAGTTAAGCGGTGCCAGCCGACGCGCGAGAAGGACAATAACCGTCGGCGCTCGGTAGGGGGTTCTCAATGGCATCGAGAATCGAGGTTAAACTGTTTTTTCGGAGGTGTTGAGGGACCTAGGTATCACGTCTTGTAATGATCTCCCGACTAACTAAAAGTGTTTCCATCGAAAAACTCCTAGAAAAAGCCGAAATTTTCACACAATAGGTCTTTTTTCGAGATATGAAGCTTCAAATTATGCAAAAAAAAAGGGAAGCTTCATAAGTCGATAACGAGACCTATTTCAAGAAATTTTTTTCTTGTTCTGGAATCAGAAGGTTCTAAACTACACTTTAACTAGTATCATTGAAAGTTCAAGGAGGGGGTGAAGAAGGTTCTCTCCCTCGTCTGATTTGAATAATTTGGTCCAAAGCTTCTTCAGATACTTTTTTTCTAAAAAAAGACCAAGGTAGTGATTTTCTAGAACAATCAAAAAATTTGTTCAAACAAATGTTCCCTTTGAAATTTTATAAGGCTCTTACACGTGAAAAATATAAATCAGAGCTTTTTCTGATACTTTTTGGAACGAGAAATCAAAAAAATATTGTTTTTTTGTGGAAGGAAACTTATGTAATTGTTATGAAGATGTTTTGAAAAAAACTTGAAAAATAACCCGAAATTTTCGAATTTTTTTAAAAAAAGCAGAAATAGTTTTCCTTCAAGCTTAATTCTTCAATGATCTTTTTAATGAAAGACGCTAATAAAAAAATCCATAGTATTGAAAAATGCATAAAACCAGAATACAGGGAGTGTTTGGAAAGTTTTTTTCCTATCATTTTAATTATTTTTTTCATGTTGAAAAATTTTTGGTAGGTGAAACACGATTCCTTATGCAGCGGGCTCCTTGGAAAAATGCAATTAGAAGAAAAAAAAATGTATATTTCTGAATTTCAAATATGACTTTACAGATGTTCATTTTAGGTTTAAAGACTTTTTTTTTTTTTTGATATGTTAGAAAAACGGCCTCCTCTTCAATAGCTTCAAAGTTATTAGAAACGTCTAACAGAAGACCGTTGTCATGCTCAATCTCAAAGCTAAGGTAAAGCTCAATCCCTAGAATAACTAAAAAATCAGTCGATAATTTTTTTAAAGAAATTTATACCTTAGAAAAAAACTAAATATTCTATTATAAACTGGTGGTATGAAAAAAACACCAGCGAAAACTCAAACAGCGACTTATCCGATTTTTTCGTATCGCTACGGAACTTTCCGACGGATCCCTTTCCGACTTTTTTTCCCCTTATGTTTTTCGGTTTATAAAACACCTATTAACATTTTCTTCCTATTTATTTGTGTTTTATTCATGAACCAACTACCTACCTTATATAGAAAGATTTAAAACGAAGATTTTATCGAGAAAAAAAGTCGGAAAAAATTTCGTCGGAAAGTTCCCTAGCCATTTGAAAAATATCGGAAAAGTCGCCGTTTGAATTTTTGCTGATCTTTTTTTCATACCACCTATAAACTAATTAATTGCTTACAATAATCCTACCACCATGCCTCGCCAGTCGCCACTTTTTTTTACATTGCAACTTTTTGCTGCGCAGGGCACCTGCGCCCGTTTTCCCAGCCAGCTCCCTTTTTTTCACTTGTTCCTATTGTTTCCAAATGGAACGCGTCTGGGAGGTTTGTGACTGGAAAAACGGTTCAGGGGAAATAAAAAAATTGTTGGCGAAACCTGTGGGAAGTGAACAGATGCTCCTTCTTGCCAGAAAAAAAATTGCAAGAGGTTCTAGGAACTTTAGGATGAAGGACTTCTTGTCGTAGGAAAAAAAAACGTGGGTGTGAAAAGGTGTTGAACCAAAATCGGAAATTCCACTAACATTGGTAAAATGTGAAATATCCTTAAAGGACCTGAAAGGGGTTCAAAAAAAGGTCCTAAAATGATTTTTAAAAAAACGGTTTTTGAGCTTATTTTTTTCATTACCTCACAGGATTCCTTTTTAAATTCTTTTTTCGAAGACTTGAAAAAGATGCAAAAGTGAAATAAAAAAAGATCAGTTGGGGGATCCTTTGAAGACATTCTTGAAGAAATTCAGAAGCTTTTTGAACAGTTGTGGCCGAGAATTCCCCCTCTTTAATCCGTAACAAAACTATATCAACACTACAAAAACGTATTTCGAATTCAGAAAATCATTCTATAAAGGCTCTTTGAAAAGAGTGAATTTCTATGATCACTTTGGCTTCTGTACCTTCGAAAAAAGCCTGGCAAATTTTTTTATTCGACTTTTAACTTTTTTCAGAAACCTAATAGGAAGTTATTGAATGCAAACTTTTAAAATTTAAAAAAAAATCCACTTTTAATGATCTTGATCTTTATCAGATGACACCTTGAGGGAAACAAGTCCCTTTACAGTTTCCTATTGAAATTATTGTAATATAATCACCCGAAATCCAATTAACTGATCCAAATAAATCTCAAAATTGAGCTTCTCCCTCCTCGCTACTAATTATTGTTTGGGAATGAGAGGAGAAAATGGCAAAATCGGTTTTCACCTTGGTGCCGGCGCATACCCGGTCATTAGGCCGAGCCTGAAATCTGATCTCATTTCACTCCACTTTTTTTTTCGCGCACCTGAGGTCACTGGCGTCCTGTTTAATAGTAGACTTACAGTGGAGGAATGAAAAAAAGGTTAAAAAAACTATTTCAAAGAAAAAAAGTCTGATTTTTTTTCAACTAATTATGAAAAAAATTTTTTAAGGTCATGAAAAAAATATCACTGTTTCAGAAATTTTACAAAATTCCTCATAATTTTAGATTCTCAATGGGAAATATAGACGATTAGCTTTTAGTTTCTATTCAAATTTGATAAGAATTCGTATTTTATACACATCCCTTATTAATACAACAAAAATGTAGTTTTTTTAATATCGCGCCTCAAAAAAATTTTTTTTTGGTAGGAAAAACCCTGAACTTCCTCGCAAAAAAGTCCACTTTTTTTCTTTTTTTAACTGAAAAAAATCCATACGATACTTGAAAAAAATTGAAAAATTGGATATATTTTAAAAATAAAAACTTTCAAAAAAATATAGTGAAAAAAAGCTGTTCAACAATCTTTGCAAAACAAGTCTTACTTAAACTTTTTTTAATGAAATCCTGTACTTTTTCCATTGAAAAACTTCTTAAAAAGACTGTATAAATCTATTTATTTTTTTCATATTTGTATAAAGAAGTCAATAGGAGAATAATAATTTTATTTTTTTCCAATCATTTCTACGCAAAATCCTATTTTTTTTCCATCAAAATCTTCCAAGGAAAGTTCCAAAAATTTGCCGGAAAAAAATCAATTTTTTTCTGAATTTTCAGAAACTTTTCTTTTTTTCAAAAATATCCCATCTCCAATTTTTTTCAGTAAAAAGCCTTACTCTTTCCCACAAAAAAATTTTTCCAAATAAGATTCCAAAAAGCCTACCTATCTTTCGTGCACCAAACAAGTCAGATAGAAAAATATTAATTTTATTTTTTTCTCCTCAAAACTGTCCTAATTTCAACCTGTTTCACGTCCTACTCTTCCACAAAAAAATCTTTTCAAAAAAAGGTTCGAAAAAAATCTATATATAAAAATCATATTTATGACGAAAAAAATCAAGAAAAATCATTTTTTTCAATTTTAAAAAAACTTTTTCTGTTCAAAAGCTCTCCTGGTTCCTAATATTCTTCCTTTCATTCTCTACTTCTTCTCTTCGAAAAAAACTTTCTAAAAAAATTATCCAAAAACCCAATATTTCATTCACAATCACAACGAAAAATTCAACTAGAATGAGGACATTTTTTTGAATTTTTTTAAAAAACTTCCTATTTTTTTCTTCAAAAACTATCAGATCCTCGATTACTTAATGAAAAAAATCTTACACTTTCTTAATAAAAAAACTTCCTAAAAGGCTCCAAAAAAACTATATATCATTCACAATTACAAGTAAAAAAATCAAAGGGAAAAAAATTTTTTTCTGAATTCTCAAAAAAATTTTTCTCTTCAAAAGGTATCCTGGTTCCTACTATTTTTTTCTAGCCCTTTCCCATTTTTTTCCCGCGGAAATATTTTTTTAATAAAATATCCAAAGAGCAATCTGTTTTTTTCACAGTTAGAAAGAAAAAAATCAACTAGAAAGAGGACATTTTTTTTGAATTTTTTATAAACTTCCTTTTTCTCTTCAAAACTATCAGATCCTCGATTAATTTAATGAAAAAAATCCAACATTTTCTTACCAAAAATCTTCAAAAAAAGTTCCAAAAAAATCTATCAATCGCTCTAAATTATATGGAAAAACTAACTAGAAAGAAATAATTTTTTTCTCTGAATTTTCAAGGACTTCTAATAACTATAAGATCCTAAACCAATCTAATATTAAAAACAAAACTTTCCCACCAAAATCTCCCTAACAAAACCGCTCCAAACACCCATCTATCATTGGCGCGCACTAATCCCTTCTTGTACCCGTCAAGTTTTTTTCTTAACTAGCGTCTTTCCCACCCCAGTGCGGCTAACTCTCGACAATCATAATAGATATCCCCAAATCCTTGCCTCGGATATAAATTTTTCTGAAGACGTCGCGTTGTTGTTGTCGCTCCTCAAGCCGAGGTTCTCGAGGCCAAACAATGGGATTAGCAGTTGGAAAAGAGGAGGAGAAGGTTGCGAATTTCTTCTCCTATCGGTTGACCTAAAAGCATCCTTTTCTTACTAATTTGTCAACTTATGAGGTCATTTTTAGACTAATTTTTTTGTATTTTTATCCATATACGGGCAAGTACAGAACTTATTCAGCCGGGGAAAATTTTTAGTGGCCACTATAGGGTTTTTGACGTTTTAGTGGCCACTGTAGTAGTCAAATTAGTGGCCACATAAGGGGTTAAAATCTAGGGGCCACTATAGAGGTCTAAGTGTTACTACTAGACCACTAAGTGGCCACTTTAGGGGTCAAATAACTGGTCCAAACTGTTTTTTTTTTTAAATTATCAGAGTTACTGGAAGGAATACTGGATGGAAAACTACTGAAATGGCCACTAAAACGGAAAATAGTGGCCACTATAGAGTTGGGTTTAGTGGCCACTTTAGTCTCCTTTTTATGAAGTCCTTGGCGAGCCTCTATAGTGGCCACTTCGAATGGTTAGTTTATAAAAATTTCGGAAAAACAGAAATATCAAGGATTTTCAACTTCAGGGAGGTAGTTTGGGCCTCAATAATACAAGTTATAGCCTTAGGGAAGTAGTAATAATTTTAATTTTACAAAAATTGCGAGGAAGGGTTGGCGCCAACAGATAATCAGGCCTGATACAAATTTTTCTCAGTTTTGAAAAAATCATATATCCAAAACTAGCATTTTTGCACGTAACAAGTGTGAGTGACCTTTATCTAAACCTTGACCGAATTTTCTTGAAAAATCCAAATTTCTATAAAATTTTTTTTCAATTTTTTTTCCGAACTCTAAAATTCAATTATTACGTCTTCTTTTCGAGCAAACTCTATCAAAAACTTTCAAAAATACTCCTTCAAAACTCATAACACTCCACTATTCAATTTGAAACCGTGTAAATCATGGTGCAAATCGACTTGGCGGCCAGCCAAGGCCAAACATTCATTTGCCTTTTACGGGCGCCTTGTTGATCCGATTTTGGGGCCTCTTTTGACTCCCGCATAATATTATCGGCTCATTTCATCGGAATATGAAATTAACTAGTTGAGAAGTATGTTTCTGGAGAAAAACAGGGAGGTTTTGAAGCAAAAAATAGGAGATTTGTTTGTTCAAAAGTTATTTTTTAATGAACAAGAAGTGATGAAAAAAATAATTATTTAAATTTTTAAGTACCTTAATTTTGGTTTCATTTTTCAATTTTTTTTTTCAATTTTTTCGGTTGTTCTGAATGATAACTGAGAAATATTAGAATAAGGATAAATGCTGGCTTTTTGGCAGGAGAATAAAATTCAAACTTGCTCAAAAATCGCAGATTTTCTGTCGAAATTACAACGAAAAAGTTCACAAAACCGCCTTTTTTGCTACTAAAACTGCATTTCTACACCTCTAAATTATTCCGAAATCAATCAAAAACGTTAAAATCGACAATATTCCTCGGGTTAATGAATTCCGGCCACGCATTCCGATAATTAGGAATCGTCTACCTACCGGTAAAATATTCAACATTAGGAATTCCTCGCGTCAGTACTGTTTTACGAGACAATTGACTCGGAAATAAGTAATTGGTCCATGTTAATTTCGGATAAATTGCTTTTGTATGAAATTTAATGAGGAATTTTTAGATTAAAGGTTTCAAAAAACTTATCCTCGCTTTAAAAAAAAAACGAAAAATTAAAACGTTGAATCAATTGAATTTTAGTAAAGCTTTTTTCTGAAACAATTACACGCTTAATTCAGTAGAAAATTTTATCGAGCATAGGATATTTCGAATAATTTATATAGAAAGACCATCCAAGGAACGGAAAATTCCTCGAAAATGGTTTTTTTGCTTCAAAAAAACCATTTTTAAAGGGCATGCTGCAAAAGTCGGTCACTTTTTTTCAAAGCGGCCATTTTTTTCGAAAATTGTAAAATTTTTTTATTTCTAAATTGTTTAAGTCTCCAAAACATACACAGGCAAAGTGCAAACGACCTTAAAAAAGGCCTTAAAAAAATGAGGCTAAATCTCTTTTTTGAGTTCCTAAAAGGTGTCAAAAGTTTCTCGGAATCTCCTTTTTTCGCGCCTTATTTTTCTGGTCCTCCTTAAAAGGTCCTTTTCAAAAAAAGGTCTAGAAAAAAAGGCGCATTTGAGATCTTTTAAAGGCTTTTTTTTTCCAAAAGTCCTTTTTGAGAACTTTTGGACTTTGCCCGTGTAGAATTCTCGATCGTGGTTAATTTTCTAGTTTCGAGAAACTTAACATATTCAATTCTAAATAAGGAATTTGATTTTTTCAATAAATTTCATGTCATTCTTTTAAAACTAACCTGAAATCGAAATGCGTCAAGTGCGAAACAGCGTTCATTAAGATTTTAGAGCATTTTTTTGTTGAAAAATGTCAGAAAAAAAGTGAATTTTTGTAAATATAATGGCGAGAATTTTTGAAACTGATCATAGTGTGAAGAAATATGTACTTTAAAAACCATTAACAACATTAAAAAGCCCAAAAAACTTGTCAATTTTGATGCCGTGTTCAAAGAATTTTCCGCGAAATGCAAAATGATCTTTGACTCTCCAAAATTTAGTGATCTTTTCCTTTCTCTAACGGGTATTTTGCATTTCTCGTAATCAAATTGAACACGGCATGAAGACTTGAAAAAAATTAGCGTAATAAAAGTGACGGACTTTTCCAGCATGTCATTTGAAGCATTACAGACATTCTCTGTTATTCCAATGGACACACCAAAAAATCTCAAAGTTCATTTTTTTTTTTCACTATTTATTCAAAATAAATATACAAACCTGATCTCAACTTCGTTTCACTCCGCATGGCAATCCAGTCGGAGCGAAAAAGTATACATGGAAGCAAAAAATCATCATTTCACGTGAAAAAAACCAGCCTTCAAATTAAAGCTTCATTCCCTTTCTACATAAAATAGGTACAAAGTTTTCAAGGGTGCCAAATTCGGTCGAGAGAAACGCCGCAAGACGAGGAGTCGGTCTGGTATTGGTGCATGTAGGGCATTCGCCAGCCTCCGAATGGATAATATCCGTTGAAATCCTAGAAAATGATATGAAAAATTGAAATTTTTTTTCTTTTTCACCTGGTTGTTGTTGGGCTCGGCCCACCAGAGCGGCTGATTCTTCATCTTGGTCCATTTGCCACCAGTGACGGCCTTCCAGTTGTCCTCGTTCGTGTAGATTCCCCAGGCCGCGCCTTGGTACTGGAAAATAAGCGAGTTGGAAAGTTTTTCTTGGCGTTTAAAATATTCTTTCACTGTTAAAACATCATGAAATAAAACAAGAAACATTCAAAACGGATACAAGCGTTTTTTCTTCTCAAGATCGAAAAGAGACGAAAAAGGCTACAATAATTTTCAATTTTAACTTGAGAAACTTCTGAAATTTTCCATGCTCATCCCTTAGCCGATACTGTTTCTGATAGGGTTTTCAATTTTGAGCAAATATTTACTTTTTTTTAGCTCAAAAAAGACTATCTCTCCATTTAAAAGATATAAAAATGTCGGCAGTATGTTAATTTTCGTCGGCGGTACGTGCACAGAAAACATCATATTCGACGACTTTTTTTTTAATCAAGAGCTAGCATTTTTTTTTAAATTTTCTCCTCCAAACTCACATCAAGCTCGCTTCCCATGCGAGTGATGAAATCTTGGTTGAAAGTCGAGTTGCTTGGCCATCCAGGCTGCTCGACGTCGATGAAAATCTTGTCGCAACTCGCTCCGTTGGCCTTCAAAGCCCTGAGAACTGCCTGAACTTGTCCCTCTGGCGGCGGACAATCGGAGGAAATGCACGGGTAGATGTAGCCGTAGATTTCTTTGAATCCAGCTGAAAAATATTAGTTACGATGGTTTGAAAAAACATTTCTTCCGTTAATAATAAAGAAAACTGACCACTTCTGGCGTTGGCAATGTTCAAAACGCCATTGTTATCCACATAGTTGTATCGTTGCCATAATCTGCCGGCGAAGAACGAGAATCCGTTACCCGCCAAACATTGGAACGTCTTCGGAGCAATATACTAAAAGTTAACTTTCAATTCTTTCTTTAAAACAAAGAAATTTTTTTACCTGAACTGCATCTAAACCGAGGCCAGCCAATACTGAGGAGGAAAGACACAAAAACACGACAAATCTGAAAAGCATTCCAAATTGAAATTTTGCTGCAAGGAAAAAAAATAACCGGAGCATTTTGGAAACGAGGTCTGCTGATATGAGGCTTCAGATCATTTCGATCAACTATTCTATGCGCTTTTATATGGCACTGATAAATCGGCTCTTATCAAATTCGGTTTGGTGACGCGTTGAGCAAATAATGGAAAGGCTTCGTTAGTATTATCCGGAAATCAACAACTAATCATTTGAACTTGCAGAATCGAAAAATGATAGGATAAAAAAGCGTATGAAAAAATTAAAAGAGAAGTTTTTAGGCACTCGAAAAAGACCGTTAAAATTCCAAAAAAAATTTCAAAGCAAACAGTTGTTAAAGTGTTCTTTTTAGTCATACAGTCTTCCAATTTTTGAAAAGCCTTCCAGTAAGTTTTTTACAGACAATATGTGGTTATTAAATGAAAAAAAAAAAACAAAAAGAATAAAATGTGAGGAAAAAATGAATTTTTTTTTGCGACATCTAGAAAAACGCCAATGCGCACCGGTTGACGTTTTTTTTCTCCACTTCTTTTATTCATTCTGGGATAAGTTTTAAGGGGCCCTATAGGGGGTCGCGATTTTAGGGGACCCTATAGGGTTTCATTTAGGGACCCCTATAGGGCCCCCTCCAAGGGGCCCTAATTTACTTCCTATAGGGCCCCCAAAAACTTATCCCAGTTTTCCAATTTCCTTTTTGATTTCTTCTTCAATGCAACTCCATAAATAATTCTGCAGGATTTGAGTTCAAAAACCATGTTTACTGTACAGTTCAACTTTTTCCGAGGTTTTCCTGATAACGTCTTCGTCTCATTGTTTGTTCCAAACGTCACCGAAAACGGTGACATTTATAAATATCACTCGGAGATTAATTAAAGGTCACTTCACCACGAAAATTGATAAGAAATTGTCGTTCGACAATGTCAACTCATAGTCTGCGATAAACCACGAAAACCTCTGTTATAATGATCAACAGGAAATGGCGCGAGATTTTTTTCTTTTGAATGGGAGCTCGCGGAGCAAGTTTACCTAACCTAACCTTGATTGGCCGCACATGCACTCATGATGGGGACAAACACCGTGCTTAACATCCCCAATCAACTATTCATCCATCACTTTGCTTCCGAATAGTGTTTGCTTAAGGGATTTGCGCGCGTTTGTTATTTCGGGACAAATTTGGCTTGACTCGAGCTTCTTGGTTGATCCAGGGAGCTTTTGAATCGGAAATTTTTGTTTAAAGTAATTTTTTTCTTGATATTAGCATTTGAAATTAAATCTGTTATTCATTATCTTTGCGCCTTTGTTTTTTTTTTCGGAAAATTATGGCTTTATAAGAGCTTCACCAACTTGTATAATAAGCTTTCTTGAGAAATAAATTCAATATACATTTCGGAGGTGTTGCAAAAATCAAAAAAATACCATTTGAAAAAAAGCTTTGAGAATTAAGTTATTATTTCAGGCCCATAAAAAAATCCCCAAAACGGTCTCAAAAACAAACTATGAGTAATTAAGAAAAAAATAATAATCTTTTGAAATTTCAGGATATAATCATAACGTTCAGGTGTAAAAACACCTTTATTAATGAAAATGAACTCTACCGTTACGTCTGTTGATAACGTGAAAAAAGGAGTATTTTTAGCCGATGCATCGCACGAAACCTTCCGTGGTCAGTTGGGGTCTCTTTTCTTATTCTGAGGGCTTTTCAAGAGGTTTTTATGCCAGAAAACCTGTCATAAGGCATCGAAGTCGTACATGCAGAGATAATACAGAAAAACGGCTCTTCGTCTCGAGACCTTAAAAATTTGCTTTGAAAACCCCTAGCGAAGACTCTTGAATAGTCTATCCGTTGACTGCGATACAGGCCGTTTTTTTGGAAAAGTATGTGAGAATAAAAAAGCTTCTAATAAAGAAATACAGCAAAATAACTAAACTTCACACTTTTTATCCTCTTCAGAGATCAAACGAGGAAAAGCCTCGGCGTTCGAAGCCGTCAAGAGACGCATATTCGACCGTCGGTAGTACACAACCGTCTCTTTATGCCAGTGAACAGGTTTTTGACTAGTTGGACTTTAATAAGAAACGTAGGGCTTGGAAAACTATTTCAATTCAATCAACAAAAAAAAAAATACTTTTTTAAGCTGAAAAATCGAAAAAAAGCTATCCTGAATATTCTCAAGAACGGAAAAAAACCGGTTTTTCTTGCTTGAAAACCGGTAAAATTGAGAAAATCTAGAAAGTTTGATAAAAATGAATAAGTTTGGCTGTTTCCGTTAATATAACTGATCCACGGCTGGCTCGAGCCATCGCAAAAAGGGTCCTGGCACGATAACTGAAGAGACAACGGCTAGTTGGTGGAGAGCGAGGACAGGCCACGCCTCTTTATGTCCCAAGCCAGCCGGTTATATTTCCTTTTTGGGCGCTGTCATTTTTTAAAATCCTAGAAAGTTCTTTTCGGGCGCTGCCAAATTTAAGAAAAAAAAATCGATTGGAAAAAAAGTGCATAAATATGTAATATGGCGTAGAGTTGTTCTATAGTTTTCCTTGTCAAAAAATCTACAATAATTTTCAAAATTAAAAAAAAAATCCTTTACAGGTTGTCGAAGCGCCGCCAGCTGCAGCAGCGGCTCACAACAGCACGCCTCTGTCTAAAAGAAGTGTATTCCAAAATCTTTCAAAAGTTGATTATCTCAAAAAGAAAAAGAAGAAAACAAAGATTGAATTTAGAGAATGAGTGTATTAAAGGTAACGACAAAAAAGGCGACGAAACGAAGTCTAAAGGACCATCTTCCCAACGGCGGTCAGGTGAACTCGCCTGGATTTTTGAAAATTGGCAGAGATGAAGAAAAATTTTTAGTAACTTCTTTTTTATTGCAAATTCACCTGCCAATCACGATGACCTATCTAGGCGTTTTTCGACGACGCCACGCCCACTTTTTCTCCTTAAAGTGTCGTGTGTCGTGTGCATACACTGCGCCGCTTTCGCGCAGAAAATTGCTTTCATGTAGAGAAATTTCGATTCGTCTCGGCGACCTGCGCCTTTAATATGCCCTGTTATTTACGCTCTTAGAGCCAAAATATCCACCGTTCCCACGTGACGTCACATGGAAACGGTGGATATTTTGGCTCCGCCCACCGTTTTTTTGGTTTTTCATTATCTCCCACTAACAAAAACGCCGTGATGTTTGAATTTGAAGAAAATGACGAGCAACAAGAAATCGATAAAGTTAAAGCAAAAGCAATCGTTTACAAAGTCGCCGTTGAAAGTGGCGGGTTCGATGTCAGAGAAAAAGTTTGATTTTTGAAAATTATTGAATAATTTCTCTTCCTTTTTCAGGCATATGCGTAGACCATGTGAGTTTGGACTAGTTTTTTTTCAGTTGGTTAATTTTTGGGAGCCAAAATAGAGAGGATTTATGGCGTCTCTGAGGCTTCATAACTAGTTTAAAAATGGATTCACGGCATTCTTAATTGGGTGAGGGAAGGTGAGCGAGGCGTCAAAGTTTCTGAATTTACAAAAAATAGTGAGTGCGCTCTCCGGATAAAAGAACTGTGACGTCACAGCTACCTATCGTTGCAAATTAAACTGAGTATTCAACGGCATGAAGATAAAATTTGGCTGCGTACTTGAGATTTCAAATTTCGCGCCAAAATCTTTTTGACGTCTCCCCACCCCGTTTGGGAACGCCGTGGGATTATTTTCAGTCTGTTTTCGAAAATGTCATAGCTATTTCTCAAAATTTTCAATTTTGTGCACTTTTCTCCTTAGAAATCTAGTATAGCTGATTTACGGCCATCAAAAAAGGGTCCTGACACGATAGCAAAAGAGACAGTGCCTGGTTGGCGGAGAGGCCAGACAGGCCACGCCCCTCAACGTCCCAAGTTAGCCGTGAATTGACTATGATTGTCAACAAGCCTTTTCGAAAAAATATAATTTTCGACCTTTTCTTCAGTATCAAAAGGCCCCATCATAGCCACGCCGCCAAAAACAAAGAACGGCAGTGGCTCCGTGAGCTCAAAAGACGCAAATCGTGACGAAATCATGAAGAAAAAAGCTGAACCGGTCGAGCCTGTAGTCCTCAAAAAACCGAAGAGCAATCGGGATCGAGACGCGAATAAAACGGACAATAGCTTTCGGAAGAAAAAGAGCGGCGGTCAGCCCAAAAGGTTGCTTTTGAGATTGATAATCCCAATATTTATATAATAAAGAAGGTCAATAAAGGTAGCTCAGTTTTCGTGATTTAAAAACGATTCCCCAAATCAAAAACTTGGGCCAAGTAAAAATCTGAAGCTGTGTCCGGCTTTGAGCTACTTCTTCTGATTTTATCCCTCAATAAAAAATCAATAGTTCAAATTTTAATATCAAAGTGCCTTAATCCGAGTCCCTAAAGATCTCCGGCCTGTTCAAGCTGAACCGCAGCGCAACCGCGACGCGTTGAAAATTTCGACTTGAACTTTATCCAGCAAATCTTTTCAGAAAAGGCAGTCACGAGCATTCGCAGAAAGAGAATGATAACAGCGCACAGAAAGGAAAAAAAGTTTGTTTCAGTTTAATTATTATTTTTTTCGGAAAAATACAACGTTATTCTTCTGAAAAATTTCATACAAGGAAAGTAAATTGAGTAAGAATTTTCTAACTTGATCTGCGGAAGTTTTCAGGAAAGACAGTCGCGAGCAGGAGAATAAAGACAAGGAGAACAGTGGACAAAAGGGAAAGAACGACAAATAGTTCGTTTTTGGCCTTTTTTTTTGTTTTTGGATCGGTTTGAGATGCGAAGCGGCTTTGATGCAACAAACCGGAAAAAAGCAAATTCATATTTAGTTCTTTAAAAGTTTATAATCGCACGTGGAAGATGTTTCCTGACTTGAAATGACTTGCGCGCTATCAAGGGAGGCCATTTTGATGTGAAGCTTGTTTTTTTGATCCTATAACTTTTTCAAAGGTCTAGCTGAGATCCTTCTTTTCGGCTTGAAAATCTTAAAAAAGTACTGAACTTCCCTCCAAAATTACCTCTCTACCCATTCCACGTGCGGCCATACAGCATTTAAATGTATATATTTATCGGAGTATATATATACATTTTCTCAATTTAGCAAAGAGATTTGGAATCAGCCGATGGCCGTAGTGAGCTGCGAAAACGCCGTCAAGGAACATTTCAGCCGTCGGAGGGCCAAAAGAGCCAAGGAAGCCCAAGATGTTTGATTAGTTTGAATTCGACGGAAATTCCTCGCTCGCTTGAGAATCGAAAAATACTCACAGATTGAGTTAAAAATAGTGTAAAATTTACAAAAAAACTCGTTCGGAAACTTCGTGAGACGATCAATGAGTAATACATTAATGCTTTCTGACCCCTAATTCTTGTAGGGACCACTTGAACTATAAGAGCTACGGAGTCAGACCCTAGAACCCTATAGGGACCACTTTTTCGTCCCCTATGTGGGATGTTTACCTCCCTAGAGGGACCACTCTGGAATTCCTAAAAGAGCGCGTTTTTTCTTACTAGGAAACTACTCGGACTCGGGTACGCAGATCGAGTTCAAACTTCAGTGGTTTATAGACCCAAGTCAGAATACTCGAAAACAAGAGAGAATATCTGCTAAACCCATTAGAGAACTGAGAAAAAATTAGTAGGAAATGTGAAAATTAGGCCTGAAAATTTCCAAAATACTGCGTTTTATCTTATTTTATATTTTAATACAATCGTCTTGAATGATCCGGCTATGATAAACTCTAAAAAACTTTTTTTTCCAGCCAAAAGAAGAAGGAAAGCAAATATTTGATAATTTTCAAGCCTAAACTGTTCATTTTCAAAAAGCTTTTTCTCAGTTCTCTATGGGGTTTAGCAGATAATCTCTCTTGTTTCCAACTACTCTTACCCGGGTCTATAAGCCACCAAAGTTTCAACTCGAAACGCATACCCGAGTCCGAGTAGTTCCCTAGTTAGTTTTTTCACCCAACTTGCTCCATGTTTTTTTTTTTGGTTTCTGAACCCCTATAGGGATCACTTGAGCTATAAAGGCTGTGGAGACCCTTTTAGGGTTCTCCTGATTTTTAGTTTTGTAGAGACCACTTTTTCGTCCCCTATAATGGCTGTTTCCATCTTAAACCCTATAGGAACCACTCAGGACTCCCTAAATCTTTTTTCTTAATTTTTTCACCCACTTTGCTTCATGTTCTTTCTGGGTTCTGAACCCCTAAAGGACCACTTGAGCTTTGAGAGCTAAGGAGACCCCTATTGGGTCCTCCTAAATTTTACCTCTATAGTGACCACTTGGCTGTTTTTCTCCTAACCCCTATAGGAACCACTCTGAAATTCTTAAGTATACGTTCAAAATTCTGTAAATTCAATACCCGAACATCTTTTCTGAAAAAAGGATCTTTCAAAGTCCATACCTTTATGTCACTAATTTCGACTTATTCTGTAAAAAAGAGAGTTCAAACTTTTCCTGTCTCAAGCTAGCGGTGGATAAAGAAATTCTATAAATTCCAATCTATCTTGAATTTTTTAAGAAGGCCAAGAACGTCAACTTGGACGTGATACCGGCAAGGGAGCCAGTCTTGAGAGGGGTTATTTTCAATTTGAATATATTTTTTTAAATGAGTAATTTTTTTCAGAGAACTCGCCTACCCATTTCGGAAATCTGTGTGGTATTTTTTTGATTTTCGTTGTTGGAAATTTGGAAATTGGAATTTTAGGAAGAAGCGACCTACGACGAGAACTTGAGGAAGAAGGTGGAAAAGTCGAAAGAAGTGATTGACGAGAACGGGACGCCGTTCTGGTGTAAAAGCAGTGGCGACATAGAGTCGGAGAGCGAGCTTGTCGCGGTTGGTTTTAGAACTTAGGCGAAATCTAGGAAGGTTTATGGAAGCTAGAAGGTCTTAAGAAAGCCTTTGGAAGTTGTTCGGAAGGAAGATGGAATGTGAAAATGGATAGGCTTCTGGAAGGCTTCCGACAGCCTTTTTTTCTGAGTAGAAAGTGTTAGGAAGCAATGTGAAAGGCTTGAGAAAAGGGTTTCAGTACTTCTAAGAAGCTTTCCAGGAAGGCGCTGAACTCGAAGGTCGACTGACGTCGGATCACGTCATCCAGGCCTGCGAGGGCATTATCACCCTATCTCCGCCCGTTCCGCTCCCGACTTTCGACGTCTACGCCGATTTGGTCGAGCTGAGCGGCCAGGACGACGTCCATTTCTCTATTGACATGGTCGTCAGCAACACTATAAGGAGCATGACCAACGGTGGGTAAAAAAGCTTTTTTATAGTCCGTGTGCCACGACTCGAAATTTCACGGAACGACATCCCGCTGTTCCACTGCGTGCGTTCGCGAAGAGTCTTTCGAATCTAGGTCACGCTTTCATTTGATCGTTATTGCTCTGGGATGAAAGTAGAGTGCCTTGATAGAAGAAAAAGAAAATTAAAAGCGCGACCAAGGTTCGCAAGGCGCGCAGCTGAACAGCGGAATGTCGTTTGGTGAAATTCCGTCGTGGTACACGGGCTATAACAGATCTTTCTGAATTCCGGTTTGAACTAACTTAACGCCGGACGTTTCTGAGCATTTCTAGGGACCACTCTAGCGTCTTTTCTTAAGGGAAGTATTAAGGGATCTTTAGAATTGCTCAGAAACGCCCAATTTGCGTCACCGTGGTCCGAACATCTTGGGTGTTTTTCAGACACATATTCAGAATCTACATGAACAACTACACACAGTTGACCTGGTGATTTGGTGACAACAGAAAAAATTGAAATTTGAAGGAAACGAACTCGGACCTTTGCAACGCGAACTGGACGCGCCCCGGACTGGAGGGGAATTTCTAGTGGCCACTTTAGTAGCGTCAGCAATCTTAAGTGACCCCTAGAATCGACCAGAAACGTCCGGAGCACGTCCGTTTTGCGTTAACAATGTCCGAGAAGGAAAAGGATATCAAAAAAAAGGGCCATGTGTTATTGCGCGTAGAGCAATCTTACTGCAAACGCGAGAAATTCAAATCTTTTCTATACAACTTTGGTTGATCTTTTCTTCCAATCTGGGAACTTTCAAATATCTTGAAGTATACCTTTGAACGCGCAATAAAAAGCTCTACGAATTTAACTGAAACGCCATTTTTTACGGCTTAAACCTAAGAGTTAGTACTGACTCGAGTTTAAAAAAGGGTTAGGGTGAAAATGTATGACCTTGAGGGGCTAAAACTCTTTTCACAAGATTCCTGGGCGTTTTTAAAGCATATTTCCGGAATCTGCATGAAAAACTACATCTAGTTGAGCTCGAAAATAAAATTTTGACTTTATAATATTACCTAGTGAGAAGTTGCATTCATTTCTTCAGGTCCAAAAATTCAAAAGCTGAAAATCATTTTTCAGACGTGATGAAAGGACCGAAAGAAGAGAAAACGCTACACCATAATTCGATTATGGCGCCAGCTCCTGGCAACGTTCCAAAACCAAATGATCTAGTCAATCTGCCCACTTTCCCTGTAGTCCATTACAGTTATGATGTTCGTTTTTTTCGTTTTATCGTTTTTAATATCATTTATTTTAATGGTAGAGCTCATTCTCTTCTATAAATTCAATTTCCAGAGGAAGCACCCGATCGAAACGGCGGCCAAGGCGGTGAAAAAGCAAAAGGACTCGCAAAAGCCATCTTGAACTTAATTTTTTCGAAAATGTCTAGAAAAGTACAAAGTTTTTTTTGCGAATACTGATAAAACCTTTTAATTTTGCGATTTTTCGTCGGAGCAGAAGCAAGGGGAATAGAAGAATAATCAAAATGACTTTCTACTTTTTTTAGTGGCTTTTTTTGTAGCCTTTTCAGTGCATTATTTTTCAATGAAAAACGAATGAAAGTTTAATCCGACAGTCATTGATGCAGCTTCATGTCGTTAACATGGCACTATAAATCCAAAGTAAACGATCCGAAATTCCTTAAAAAACTTATTAAAAATCAATTTCTGAAAGAAATTAGCTCACCTGACCTTTGATTTTGACTAAATAAATTTTTTACGGTTCCTTTTTTCAAGTCCCCAGACTGATAATATCGGCCCCAAAGAGATGTCTCGATGATAATTAATAATATTTGCAAACTTTATTCGAAAAAAGATTGTGATTGTGCAAAAAGTGCGCGCTCCTCAAGGCTCAAAGTCTGCTCAAAACCGTCGGAAACTTTCTGGCACGGCTCCAGGCCGGTCAGAGCAGACGCAGAGCCACATGGCAGACGAGCAGAGACGCCGTCAAGAAGAAGGGCTACAAGATGGCGCAAGTCGCTGCCAGTCGGCTGTACAACTACAAGGGGGTATAAAAACCAGGGGACAAGCCGGTCGAAACGGGGGCTCAGCCATTGCACCCAACCCGAACACTCACATAGGACTCTGAGCCTATGAAACAACCGTCGAAAAAAAAAAAAAAATTCCCGCTGAAACAACTAGTAAAAGGCGGTTGTTGAGTGTAAAGGACTCTTCATTGTTTCAGCTGGGGCGGTCCGGATCCGACTTCCAAGTAAATCTTGGGATGCCGAGCCTAACTTGACCGCCCTTTTGCCATTTTTAAGCCTCATCAAAATTTCAATCAAGTACTGGAAGAATACGCTTTTAAACTCCGAATCTAAAAGATATAGCCTATTCCGCGCCAGCTTGTCACGTTTTTCTTTCCGCCAAAAAGACCGTATACCACATTAGATCAAATTTCTGCTTTTATAACGGCAAGAAACAAAGGTCTTGAAGCGAAAGTTGGTTAAATTTGACCTGGCCTTTTGGCGGAAAGAAAAACATGACAAGCTAGCGAGGAATTGCCTATATCGCAAAAACGAGGAGCCATTAGGAAGTGAGAACAAGGATATATTTATTACTTATCAAAGTTTTTAGGAATGGAAGATGTCGCGAAGTGTTTCCCCATTACGGATCCTCACCCAAACAAGAATAACAAGTACAACGGCGCCGGCGAGGACAAGAAATGCAATACAGCCACAGCCGATGAAAAACGGCACGGGGCTCGAAAATTTTTTCTTTTTTGGTGTCCGAAAGACGGGTCTCTGAAATGAACTTCATTAGAAAGGTATGATAATGAAAAATTTAGGCAATGAAAGCATAAATCAAAAAAAAATCAGTAAAAAACAGTACTATTCCTGAAAAAATAGCTTTAAATGCAGAACTAACACATAAAAAAAAACTTAAAAACACGAAAATTTCAAGATTTAATTTCAGAAACGTTATCATTAAGAATTTTCACCTTTTCCTCTTTTAAAAGAAAAACTTTTTTCCAAGATTGAAAACTCTAAAAAACAACTGATAAGGTTCAAGAAAAAAATATCATAAATTAGAAAAAAACTATGTCAATTATTACATCAACTTTCAATTACCAAATTTTCAATCTTCATCAAAATCAGTAGCGCATGGAACAAAGAGCTTAAAATAACAACGAAATAGATAAATTAAAAAGGTAAAAAAATAGAAGAAAAAAATAAAAAAACGCTCGCAAAAAAATAAAAATCAATCGATTTTTGTCCATGGAGCAACTATGTCGTTTTTTTCCAAGAAAAATTCAATTTCTTTTTTCAATTCTTTCATTACCAATTCTCTCTTGAAAAAGTATATATCTTATCATGGTATAACCCGGAAAAATAAAAAGTTCCAAAGGACTAGGAAAAATATACGGGTACGTGATAAAATAAAACGCGCAATTGGGTCGTAGTGCTTTTGCGGAACCGACTCAAAATGAGAAATATTTGATGAAATTTTGTTAGAAACGACTGGAAATGGGCCCACCAAGTTTTTCTTTATAACTTTGGTCTGAACAAAAAAATTAAAAAAACCCTATAGGGACCAGTTGACTGTTTTTTTCCACTAACCCCTATAGGGACCACTCTGGCGTTCTTAACGTATATTTATTATTATTTTAAAAGAAAAACGAACCATTGTTGTTTTCCGCATAGGTTTAGTTTGATTTAGGTGAGCTGTACTATTGAAACTGTAATATAAACCATTTTGATTATTTACAAATTAAAAACAAACTTTTTTGTGGTCCATTGTTGTAATGTTGTATTTTTGCGTCACATTATATAAACTAAAAAAATTTGAAAAAAATTGAAAAAAATTTGAAAAAAATGGGCAACCTTGTCGTAGTAAGATTTATTAAACTCGTTGAACTTGTTGAACTTGTTGAATTTGAAGTATTTGTCGGTAATTTTGAACTTGAAACTGGTAAAGTTGTTGATCTTTTTGTTGAATTTGAAACGTTTGGCGCTGATGTGTTTTCTGGGGTTCATTATGTAGGAACTTCCTATAGAAAAAAGTACTTTGAAATCCCTGATTTGCTGATATAAATGATTAGAAGGACGTGTAGGCATCGCATCCTTTGCTAGAAATGGTCAGAAAGCTCACTTTTTTGATGTTTTCTGTTGTTTTTACGTTAAATTCTGTTATTAAGTATTCCAGGAAGCGATTTATCAATAGAAAACTTCACTATAAAAACGGAAATATACTTGAAAATTGATTAAAAAGCCGGAAAAGTGCTGGGAAATTTTTTACTGGTCACTATAGAGGCTCGGCAAGGACTACTTGGAGAGAGGACACTAAAGTGGCCACTAAACCAACTTCTATAGTGGCCACTATTTTCCGTTTTAGTTGCCACTAGGTTCTCTATTTAGTGTCCACTTCAGTAGTTTTTCATCCAGTATTCCTTCCAGTAACTCTGATAATTTCAAAACAAACATAATGAAGCAGTTATGTTGATCCATTGACCCCTAAAGTGGCCACTAAAATTTTTAGTGGTCTAGTAGTAGCACTTAGTTCTCTATAGTGGCCACTAACTCTTAACCCCTTAAGTGGCCACTAACTTGACTACTATAGTGGCTACTAAAACGCCAAAACCCTGTAGTGGTCACTAAAAAATTTCCCAGGCCTCAAAATCGGAGTAAAACCATTTTTCATCATCTATTTTTGTTGGAAATAAAAATAATTCTGAAAAATATTCATTTTGTTGCTCTTCAACTACCCCAAGGCCGTGCCAAAACCAGCAGAAAGGTTCAAAAATTCTGTTTTTATCAAGTTATCCTAACTTCATCAACACCCGCTCTGGTGACGGAAGTACACAAATCTATACAACTTTACTTCATTTTCCATGGCTGGTCGCATTTGGAATGGCTCCATTTAGAGACATTTTCACCGGAAACTTCTCTTCTTTTCTTGACGAATTTATTGCGTGGAAAACCTTTCTAGTCGCATTTGGAATGGTTCAAGGCGCAACTTTGCTTTTTTTCGAGGCCGGAACAAGTATTTGAAGCTTCAAATTAACCGCTTCGCATCTTGAGCCATTCCCCGTGCGGCCAAAGGTATTACCAAAACGGCTACCGTAACCTTCATCCATTTAGGGACATTTTCATCGGGAATTTCCCTACTTTCTTGACAAAATTATTGTGTGGTCGCATTTGGAATGGCTCAAGGTTAAGTGAAAACTATCCATTTTGCTCTTTTCAAGGCTAGAAAAAGTCTTTGAAGCTTCAAAATAATCAAATCACATCTCGAGCCATTCCCCGTGCGGCCAAAGGTATCATCAAAACGGTTACCGTAACCCTTATTCACTTAAGGACATTTTTATCGGAAACTTTAGTACTTTTCTCGACAAAATTATTATATGGTCGCATTTGGAATGGGTCAAGGCGTGGCGGTTCAAGTAAAAAATATCTATTTTGCTCTTTTTGAGGCTGAAATAGGCCTTTAAAGCTTCAAACTAACCGCTTGGCATCTTGAGCCATTCCCCGTGCGGCCAGACGGTTACCGTAGTCTTTTGAGGACATTTTTATCAAATATTAACTGGCTTTTTTCCAGTTTCATGACATGAAAAGTCTATTTTTGATAGGAAGTTAGGAAATTTATAACATTTCTCGACGATTTTCCCTAATAACTCCATCTCGAGACCCCATAAATGTACCCCATAACAGAAAAATGTGCCTTTTTCGATATAAACATAGGAATTATCCATGCCATTTCCGGGGGCAACGCCTACTTTACCTCGTGCCAACCATTGGTTATTTTTCAATTTCCGTTTTTGTAGAGATGAAAAATTGAAGAGGAGATCATTATTTGATGAGTCTGGGGATCTAAATTTGGCTTTGATGACTTTTTTGAAAATCGGTTAGCTTTTTTTTTTAAAAGAATAGCCATTCCAAATGCGACCATTGGCTTCTAACTTGAGATAAATTGCTTTTACTTAGTCTTTAAAAACTTTAAGGTTATAAGCCCACAATTTTAAGCTTTTGAGGTTGTTTAAAACGTTAAAAGTCTAAAATAAACCAGAAAAATTGGCATAAACAGCTATTTTTGGATTTTTCTTTTTTTAACTGAAACCCTTAGAGCTGACAATGAATCTACTTTTTCCAATCTTAGAGCAAAATTTTGAGTTTCGTGCATTTGATCACTGATTCCAAGCTAAAAACCGCAAAATTCACCTAAAATGAAACAAAGTCACACGTCAGGCGTGAGAATTTTTTCTTTTTGGACAACCTTTGAAGTATATTTATTTTTAGTGATTTTTGGTTCTTCTATTTGAGAAGGATGCACTTTTTATGATAAAAGAAGAGCTTTGCAAGCGTCTGCAAGTTATTGGCCAGTTGAGCAGAAAGTTCGATTTTTCGTTTTTTCTCGGGTATTTTAGGATTTCAATGACGATGAAGCTCTTTTTGAGGTTTTTTGAGAGCTGAGCATTTTTATTTTCCTTTTCTGAAAGGTTCAGTGTCTTAAAAGCTCAAAACGATTTTTTTAACCTCCCTAAATTGGCCTTGTTTCACTTCCAAAAACCTATCAATTTCGAGAAATTTAGCTATTCCGGTAAGTAAAGATTAGCAAGCTCATTTTGAATATTCATAAATTTTTCATCAAAATTCCAAGAAAAAAACATATATACATAGGCAAAGTCGGAAAGAGTGGAAAAAGGTTCCATAGAAATGTTCCTTTTAGGGTGATGAAGGCTCCCTTTTTGCGCCATTTTCTCAGCCCTTATACACCATTTTTGCTACCTCTCCCTTTTTCCACCATTTCTCGAGCCTTTATAATCATAGAAAAATGGAAGGCTCGATAAAAGGACTCTCTTTGCTACCTTTTTGCTGCCTTTTTGCTGCCTTTTTGCTGTCTTGCTGCGGCCTTTTTTTAGCCTCTCCCTTTTAGCAACCATCATCCATCAATCCGACTCTGCCCGAGTGTATTTTCAAAGTATCAGTCAAAGAACTATCTAGGGAAAATAATCACCTTTTTTTTGTCATTTCGTCTTTTGAACCCATATTTTATGAAATTTCAAAACCCTTAAGTGATATGATCCGTTTTCTACAGTTTTTATTGACCCCAAAATCTTTTTTTCTCATCAAAAAACGCTCCCGATAAACCCACCCCTCTTCAGAATCCCAAATGACGTCGTCGCCTTCCGTAGACGATCATCTGAAGAACCTCGCGGCAGCGTCAAACGGGACAGAATGCGACGATCCGACGTACGTCGTCAGCAAGTACATTCAGTTCTTCGTCCCGATCTTCTACGGGATTCCGACCGTCGTTCTCTATTTTCACATCGTCTTTGCCGTCGCCACGTGTTCTAAAAAGTCGACGTTGAACATCGCCTTCTACAAGATTTACTCAATCATGGCCGTTGTGGTGAGTTTTTGGAACTGTCTGACCTGTCTGCGCTCTCTTTTCTCTCACTAACGAGGTCAGAGAAACATGAAAACCGGTCGAGAGATGAGAGAGCGCAGAGAAGTCAGAACTTCTCGAATATTTCTCTAGTTTCCGGTAAAAAGCCAATTTTCTCGATTCCCTTTCCGTTTCTTCAAAATCTGACCAGTTTCTAACTTTTTTTACGTCTTTCACTTCAGATTTAAAAATAGATCAAATTTCAGTCATTTCGAAATCTGAGTTCATTTTTTATTATTGGACGTCATCAACTAGACAAAACTCTATCTTTTTCAACCCGACAATCTATTTCCAGCTGACTTGTCACCCTGTTTTTTCGTAGCTTGTGCTAAATTGCACATTTTGAACATGTAATTTGGAGTTAAGGAAGAAAAAGGATGTCAACAAGGACCAGGGTAAAGACATGCTAGGTGAGAAAAGAAAATTAAGGAAATTTCTGAAGTTTTTGGGCGGGACCCAAACTTTTTTTGACTGGAGTTATCATGAACAGTTGAAACACCGAAAAGTTTGAAAAATTATAAAATTCGTCAGATTTATCCGTAGAGCGCAGAAGCTCGCTTTTTTTGGCCACTATATTTTTTTCTAAACTTTTTATTTCTTCCATCTTCTAGATGAGGACAATAAAAATTCTAAGAAAGTCAACTAAGAAAAATAAAAAAATGTATTAGATTATCCATGGAGCGCACATGTTCGCTCTGCCGCGGCTTTTTTATCTCAACTATTTTTATGACGTAAATTTTGGGCTTTGAAGTGTCTGACCCTTCAATCTTACTCTATTTTTTGACAAAAATCAAATTTCCGATTTTTCGCGAAAAATCAGGAGCCCTGACTTGAATTATCCATAAAGCGCACATGCTCCCTTTAACACGGCTATTTTTTCTCACTCTGTTTTTTTTTTCAAAATTCGAACCCTTTTCAGACCTGCGTCATGTGGGTCTGGGACATGACGACTACAAGGTTCATCGCCACTGGAATCTGGTGCCACGAAATGTTGGCCGCCTATGGGACTCCCAGTCATTTCTACGCTCCACTGCAATTCGTGATGACTTACTCGAGACATGCCCAATTTTATTCGGCGACCGTTTTATCACTCAATCGGATGACGGCTGTCGTTTGGCCGGTTAAGTATAATAAGGTTGGTTTCAAGAAGATTTAGGTGGAAAGAAATATATCGCCTGGAAAGCCTTTTTGACTAATTTTTCGAAAAACAATGTTTTCGACTTCGGTTATTCAAAAAATGCTTACACTCCTCTGACCAAAGAAAAATGGCAAATATTGCAATCCTATTTTGGATTTCGCGGAAAAAATCGCTTGAAAAGGTCTTTTTGCATTATTTCATTTTTGAAGAAACTACAGTTTTCTTTCTAAAAATTCGAGTAATCTGCCATTGGCCAGAGTATAAAAATCAGACTTTACCATAAAATGCCACATTAAGGGCATTTTCTTTAATTCATTCCACGGCCTAAAATCATTCTAGGGGTGTAGGAAGTTGTGGAGAGAAAATATCCAGACCAGAAACCATTATCTGCGATAATGGCCCCGGAAATTGGTTAACCGCCAGTTTTTGATCTTTTTCGGTCTCATTTGGAGCCAAATATATAGTTTTTACGAGTTCAAATGAGCTTGTGAATGGAATAAACTTGTCGGTAGCTCAATTTCTAGAGAAAAAAAAAATTGGCGCCGAATCAAAATGCAGTGGCCGCACATAGAATGGCTCAATGTGTTGCGGTCGCGTTGTGGTCGGATTTCACATTAAGAAGCTCACTCCAAATATTTTCAATAATGTATGGCGCAAGTTGTTTTGGGTCGGGCGCACTTGAAACCTCCACGCTTTGAGGGACTTTTGATATAACGATTGTGAAAAAATCGCATGACATAAGTTGTCGTTTCAGAATTTTTGTAAAGAAAGAAACATGATTTTTGCCAAATCTTCTATATTTTCATGAGCTCTAGCTATGATATTTTCAAAGCGATTGTGAACCGACAGGAAATAAAAGAACATTCGAGCGTTCTACATGTTAAAAACGACAATTTTCCCATAATCACGACAATTTCCAGATCTGGGAAGGCCCTTGGAAACTCCCCCAAACCGCCGCCATCATCTTCATTCTCCCCATTCCATCAACCTGGTACCTAGGCCCATGGACGAGAGCTCTTTTGGCCAGATATCCGATGGGCGGATTGACGTTGACTTATGAAAAGTTGCTCCAGAACCCTTGGGTTAGTGTTGATGGCGTCTTCAGATTAAATGACGTCATTTTCAGAATTCCGTGACGTGGATGACGATGTTTGTCGGTTCTTTATGTGGGATCGTGATTCTGGTCTCGACGCTGGTCACTTATATAAATCTGAGGAATCTGATGAGAAAAGCTGAGAAAGGGAAATCCAAGACCGACGTCAACCTTCTTATCGTCGGAATGGTCTCTTCTATAACGACGTTGTTTCTGGCAGCGGTTGAGGTATGTCCGGTCGCATTTGGAATGGCTCGAAGCGTCGCGGTCGCATTGAAGTTGACGTTATCCCCCAGGAGTTAGTCTTACGCTTTTCGATGCTCACGCGCGCAAGTCGTATTTTGTCGGTTGCGGTTTAAAAAGAACTGAAGAACTTCTCAAGCCAAGTAAAAATAAGGTTAACCTTCCAGGCTCCCTTCTACATATTCTGCAACTATTTCATGAACAACTACTATTTTTTCATTTGCACCAACATCAAGCAAGTTCTCATCGACATCAGTGAGTTTTAAGAATTTCAAATTTGCTGAACAAAACTTTGCTACCTTTTTATAACTCTCATCAGATGAAATTCGAATTTTACAGAATCTTATCAATAATTTTACAGTACTCGTCTTTTCGCCATGGTCCATGATCGTCGTCTGCACCTCAGTACGTCAAGAAATCATGAAAATTTACGGTTACAAGGTTCCTTCTGCGGTGACGGTAGTCGAACCGACTCGGTTCAACGGAAAAATCGCGCCCAGTCCTTCTCATTACAGTAGAAACTCTACCTTGTCCATTACATGATCTACATTGTCCTTATTATATATTGGGATGAGACGAAAACCGTGGAAAGTCGGCTGCAAACGGTCCCTTTTTGAATCGTGATTTTTCAACACGCTTCTCTTTGAGAACCAGATTTATTGGTCCAAAAAAAGCAACTCTAAGACATCCAAAACCGTGAAAAGTCGGTTGCAGACCTTAGCTCATCATTGCCATGTTATTGTTATTCAATATGTACATTTTTTCTACGACTTTGTCATTTTTGTTATAGGAATATAATAAAGGAATTTTTTTGAAGAATTAATTTCAGTTTACAAGAAAAATCGAATAACTGGCGGAAAAAAGGATTTTTTCCTTAAAAAATTGTTCACTAATCAGCTTTTGGATGGTACAAAAACCATGGTAAGAACCGTCCAAAAATACATTTTCTAGGCTTCGAAATACTCAGACCTTGGTAACGTGATATGAACGCGCTCCGGACGTTTTTTTGAGCAGTGCTAGTGACCACTTTAGTAGCGTCCAAACTTTTAAGTGGTCCCTAGAAATGCCCAGAGACGTCCAAAGCGCGTCCTGTTTTGTTACAGGGGTCCGAGCAGTTTCAAAAACATCAAATTTGGTCAAAAAATGAGAAACTTTTTTCTACTAGAAAACAATTTAAAAAAAAATCCAGTTCAAAAACAACATCGAACTGATTCCAAAGTCATCAAATCCTTGATTCCATTGAACTCCCCTACGGAAACTACAACTATTCCACATCACACACCCCGTCAATCGTATGCAAAATCGTAATGTTTAAAAAACGAGGTCGAAAAAAGGCAAGAGAATGCCATTTTATTCGGGTTTCTTTTTATATTTTTCACAGCTCCCGTTTTGCAGATTTTACGAAAATTCCCCCTTTGCAGAATTTCTCAAAATGTCAATGAAACTTGATGAACATCAAAATGAGGATCAAGATCGATCAAAAATACATTTTGGTCACAAAACTCGTTTCGTTATTCTGATTTTGGGGTGAGTTTTTTAATATTTTTGTTTGGAAAAAGGCTTCGCTGAGATTTTTAAAGGTCTCACGGCATTCCTAATGGGGTGAGGAAAGGTGAGCGAGGCGTCGAAGCTTCTGAATTTACAAAAAAAAGTAAGTGCGCGCTTCGGATAAAAGGACTGTGACGTCACAGCTACCTATCGTTGCAAATTAAACTGAGTATTCAACGGCATGAAAAATACATTTGGCTGCGTACTTGAGATTTCAAATTTCGCGCCAAATTTTTTTTGACGTCTCCCACTCCGTTTGAGAACGCCGTGTGTCTTACATGACTTTGAAATCGGCTCTTCTCCTTGAGACCTTTATAAAACTTTTCCATGCACCTTTAAGCGTCACAGCAAGGATTTCTGAGTATTTTCAAGTGATTACTGTAGATTTCAATGGTTACAGTATGCTCTGTTTAACTACGATAAATGGAAACGCGATGACGATGAATTTCACTGTGATTTGCATGCAGGATGTTGTCATCGACCAAAAAGGAAATTCATCGGGTTTGTTCGAATTTTTTAAGTTTTCAAAAAATCATTGACGTCCTTAGTCCGTTTTTCGCGACTTGAAAGGCTTCTCTGCGCCCTCCTTATCTCTCGACGTCTTTCTCATGTTTACGTACTATTTCCATGTTTTTCTGACCTTGCCGGTAAGGGAAAAGAGACGCAGACACGCGAAAACAGTTAAGTCGCGAAGGACGGACTATGAAAAAAAGGGGGCGGGGGGAATCTATCTTGATAACTTTGGAAGAACAGTGTTTATCGAAAAAGACCTGGTAAATCTGAAGCGCTCAAATTTTAAATCGTTCTCCCTTTTCAGAGCCCCACTGGCTGGAGAGCACCCAGGACGTCTCCTTGCTATTCTCAGCCTTGGCTGTGGGCCAACTTCTTGGAACGATCCCATCAGTTCATCTTTTTTCCAACGCCGGAGTCCGTCTCACTCTGACAATCTATGGCGCCTTCTCAGCGATTGGAACAATTTTAGTTCCGATTGCAGTTTCGATAGGCTTTCCGGCGGTTATATTCGTCAGGGTGATGCAGGTGGGAAGGAAGAGAGGTTTACTTATGAAAATTTTTAAAGTGAAAGGAGAATTTCCAATTTCACAATCATACAAGGGCAAGTGACGGACTTGGTCAGCCGGGGGTGGGGGTTGCGGAACGCACGCAATACCATGGAGGGGGTCCGGAAATAGCAAAAAGTGTGCCAATGGGGGAAAAAATGTTTTTGTTCTTGTTTTTTTGTTTGAATATTCCATTGTTATAAAAAAACGAAGAAAAAAATTGGAAGAAAAAAATAATACTCGCAAAAAAATAAGGGGGTTCCGGCAGCCTGCTCAGGAAAAATAAGGTTGGCGGACGTTTTTGAGGGGTTGCCCACGTATGCTTACAAGATGGTGCCAACTTAACATGTAGTTCAAATTTTCATCACAAGAAGTCCTTGAAAAATGCTCAGGTCATTCCCATATAATTTCTCACAAAACCCTGACTCACTTACTTTTTTTTAATGTCAGGGCATCGGGAGCAGTATCATATTTACGGCCCTCGGTGCGATTTCGGACCGATGGGCTCCGAAAAGCGAGATGAGCACCTACGTGGCCGTGCTCTCGTGCGGCCTTCAATTGAGCTTCATCGTCGTAAACCCTTTGGCCGGTCTAATGTGCGGGTCGACTCTTGGCTGGCGAGCTCTTTACTACGTTCTTGGCGTTTTTTCGATCACCATTTTTGTCATCTTCTTCTTTTTCTACTCCGACTGTCCCAGTAATCATAGGTGAGATCCGGATCGCTTTGAAACTTCGTAGGTTTTTAGGAATGTGAGCAGTTTGGAGCTGAAAAAAATTGGGGAAGGCAAAGCGCCAAAGTCAACGGCTGGGGTGCCTTATAAAGCCATGGTCAAGGACAGAGTTATTGTTGGGATTTGGTTATCCGTGAGTTCATTTTCTGGGTGTTAATGAATTCGCAAGTTAGGGTAATGACCAAGGATGAAACCCTTCTTAGCCTGGTGTGTAACGTTACGCTATTTGGAAAAATATCGTGAGTGATGTCATTTAATTGTAACATCAATTTGTAAATGACGTCATTTGAGGAAGATTTCGGGGTAAGATGCAAAAAATGACGTCATTCGGTGCCAAGGAACGCCTTCTTGCTAGAATTGCACTGACGTCAGTCAATATCGCTTCCTTGGAAAAGACTTTTTCCAAAAAGACGTCATAAAAATCACCATTTTTTTTTTCAAATGATGAAAGTGACGTCACTATTGACTTATAGGTAATCGGAGGCAACCTCGGCTTCTTCATGCTCATGTACTATGGCCCAACATACTTGAACAAGGTACTCGCATCAACTTCTCATGACGTCATCAAGGACTCTAGGTCTTGAAATTCGACGTCACGGAGACCGGATTCGCCAACGCACTGCCATATGTCCTGGCCGTTGTTGTCAAAATGGTCGCAGGGCCGTTGTCTGATTATTCGACGTGTGTTTCGGAAAGGGTACGGTGATGTCTTTGGAACTGGAAAGTAAGAAATCGGATGCTTTATTGATCGGTCCAAGGTTGAAAAACCACCTCCAAGAGGCAGAATAAGCTTCGAACAGCAATTTTACGCCTTCCACTCCTTTTTTCTGTTCATTGCTTTGTAAACTTTAGCTAATTTTAATCTTGCTGTCGCCTTGGCCTCTAGAATTTAGAATATCAGTACTGTTCGTTCGAGCAGCAAGTCTACACCTCTCCTCCCGTTTTCTCTGCTTTTCCGATTTGTAGCCTCATCTTCTCTTAATCTTGCTGTAGCCTCTCGACGCTGACCCATCATTCCCAAAAAATGGGCTTCCTAGAAAAAAAAATCCGAGACAGCCATAGCCAAATCCAAGCTCACTATGAACGTCGATTTTTTGTTTCTTCAGATCCGAATGATTGTATTCGCCACCGTGTCTCAAGCCGCCATGGCCATCGGTCTTATTGTTATGGCCTTGGTAATCACAAGTATAGTACAAAGAATGAAGTTTTATTTTTAGACGACGAATAGAATCGTGGCGCAGATCGCCTTCACAACGGCAATTGTCCTGGTTGGATGTAACGTCGTCGGTGTGGTCAAGTGCGCTCAACTGGTGATTTTTGTAATTTTTTGGCCAAAAGAAAATGGATCATTGACTGTTACCGACAATTTCTTTATTCTTTAGTATTTTTTCCTTCAAACTAGAAACTTTCCTTCCGAAGCTTCTTTCCAGTTTCAAGAACTAACTTCTAGGTCGCCCGCCAGTACATCCACTTTGTGATGGCCGTCATCTCCTTCACAGCCTGCATCAGCACTTTCATTCTACCCATCATTGTCGGCTGGATGTGTCCTGACAACACTCCGGAACAGGTAAGCACACGACCGTTCCGCATCTAATCCATCCCAGTGGTGCCGCTTCTTCTTGTGCATCGCGGCTCTGATCGCCCTGACCAACGTCGCGTTTCCAATCGTCGCTACTACGGAGCCAGCAGAATATACAAAACCCGGGTGGAATGAAGAAAATAAGAGAAAAAGTGGACAAGCTTGGTTGGAAGGATAAACTGGTAAACAAGCAGAAAATGAAACCGATGAAATTTGTTCAAAAAATGAAAAAATACAAATTATTAAATTCTACGATCATCGTTCCGCGACAGAAAGCTCACCATCGATTAAAAAGTTCAAATCCCAATTCTGAGCTCAAAAATAGCCTGATCGGTCTGTAAAACGAGTTTCGACAGCTCGTAATTCAAAACACCCCATTTCAAGATTATTTTTCATTTTCCATTCGCCATTATGATGAGCTTCGCTCTTCTTATAATATCCTATTTTCATGTTTCCTACACGATAAATCCAGAAACCTCATCCAAGAGGAGTTCGAACAACTTCAACCAAACATACGATAAGCGTTTATTATCGCTGTCTTTGCCCATCTCCTCCCCGAAAATGACAGGAAAATCAGGCGGTCGCCTGAAGGCCCTTTGGAACGCCTACTTTCTTCTTCCGTCGATTGGTCTTCACCGTGCCGCCTTGTAGCTGAACCAACGTCTTCAAAATGTTCAGATGGAAGAAATTGAGAACCTCAGCCTGCATGGCTGCTGCGATTGCCGCGAAATTTGGCCGCGGGATGCCCGTTTTGATCTCGAGGTACTTGGCAATGTCTTTCATGGTGTGGCGGTCATTCGGGTTCTCCGACCAGCATTTCACCTTGAAATGGATTTTTTCTCGACATATTTTGGAAGAATTAGCTGCAGTGGTGATGATCGTATTATAAAATGAAAAAACAAGCGAAAAAAAAATTGGAAACTTCCTTAAAGAAGTTAAAATTGAGTAGTCACTTTCTTGTCTGTTTTCATTCTCTTCACTAAGAATAACTGCCGAGATAAACGCGAGACACTGGCGGTACATTGACGAGCTCGCAAACATCTCGCTTTTTTTCTCGCGCCTGTCTCGCATTTTTCTGGGCGCGAGCTCGCATTTTTCTAGGCGCGAGCTCGCATTTCTCTCGCAATTTGAAAATTTCCGAAATGCGAGATAAATGCGAGATGGCGCCAAGAAAAATGCGAGGTCGCGCCGAGAGAAATGCGAGAGCGCGCCTAGAAAAAAGCGAGATGTTCGCGAGTTCGTCAATGTACCGCCACCGACCTCGCGTTTATCTCGTCAGTTATTCTTAGTGATTATTGCTCATATTAGACACCTTTTTAAAAACACTGTTTTGTGAATTTTATCTCTGGGTTACAATTATATATATTTTTCTATTCAGGCCTCCTCATGATGACTTATAAAAACCAAAAAAAAATTTCTAAAAAAAAAAAATTGAAATTCGAGGAAAATTCCAATTAGCCATAGAGCACACTTGCAGCCAAGCTCTTTTGCGAATTTTTTATCAATTTTATTGTGTTTTGTCTTTTTTTTTCCAAGTGTTTTGTGCTGTCTGGCTAACGGCTATTTTTTTTTGATACTACTCGTCACAAAAATTTTTGTAATACACCCATATGGACATATTTTGTCTCACCTTGATCATGTTGACGATTTCCGGGTTGAGGTTATGCGGCAGTTCCATGCGATAACCTTCTCGAACCTCAAAAAAAAATGTTTAATTTTACTTCTCTAACTTTTTACACCTGCATGTTGACTTCAGCGACAGTCATACCTGGGTACGGCTCGGTCCCATTGTTGTAGATCTCCCAGCACATGATACCTCAAAGTTTAGAGGTTATTATTATTATCCAGATAATATAGCCCATTTTTCGCATGTCTGCGTCTCTCGTTCCCTCACCGGCGAGGTCAGAGAAACATGGAAACATCACATAAAAATGTGAGAGACGCCGAGAGATAAAGAGGGAGCAGAGAAGTCTTGCCCTTTCAAGTCGGGAAAAATGGACTCTATATCCGACAACTCAAAAAAACTTAAAGTTTGAAAAAAATGAATTTTTATTGAATTTTATTTTATTTCAATCATTTGAAATTATAAATTTGGCCATTCCTAACTAAGGTCAACAAAAGTGACCGTTCCAAATTGAAATCTAAAAAAAGTCCGCCAGATTCAGTAAGAATGATTAAAGGTCAATTAGTGATTTCTACTTCATGGCGAATTCGACAACTTCTCTTCGAATTTTTTTATATTTTCAAGATTGTAAAGTTCTAGCATTTTTCCTATCAATTCAGCTCCTTTTCATAACTCGACCCTTCGCTCTTTGTTTCAGGTGGGGCGCGCCGTAGCGCAACCGGTTTTATGCCTGTCTACGGTCCACAGGGTCGCAAGTTCGATCCCCTCCTCGACCCAACCAAGGGGTTTAAGAAATGTTGGTAGTGGGAAACCACGACTTCAAAATCCCCAGCCGTCACACACAAGGACGGATATGTCACTCGAGCCAGTCCACTGATTATCAGGATAGGACCTCGGCTTGGGGCGCCGAGTCAAGCGGTACAAAGGCGTAGGAAGAAGAAAAATAAGCTTTTTGTTTCAGGTACTCAATTAACTTCATTTTTTTTTTAATTATACAAACTCTACCGTAGCTCCACACATCCGTTTTCTGCGAGTAGATCTGTGTTTTGAGTGTTTCGATGGCGAGCCAACGGATCGGTACACGTCGATTGGGGTCCATCTGATAAACGGTTCCTTCGCGCGACAGCCCAAAGTCCGATATTTTCACCTGGTCACCGCAATTTTTTGATGATAACAGATATATGGAAAACTAACTTTTCCATCGCCATAGAGACAGTTTCTTGCGGCAATATCGCGATGGAGGACTAATTTCGCGTGTAAGTACTCGAGACCCCAAGCCGCCTGAAAAGATAATCATGAAAAATCGAAAAACTCGATGATTTAGGAACGCTAAAGTGATCCCTATAGAGGTTAAGGGTCTGAATCCCAACTTAAGTGGTCCCTATTGGGTCTTTTGGTTTTTTTTTGTTCAGACTTGAAAATTAAAAAGAAGAACTTTATCGATTCGGAAAAAGTTAAATTATTGAGCTGGAAAATACTTCTTGGTTCATGAAAAACAAACAAGTAGCCTGCTCCCCTAGAGTGGCCACTAACTGAAGCCCCATAGTGATCACTTTTGCAAGCTGTAGTGTCCCCTAAAAGGGAAGGTAAGGTGGTCTCTAGAGGGGAACACTCAAGGGTGCTCAAGGTTGTCCCTGTAGTGACCACTTTGCAAGTTGTAGTGCCCCTATAGGGGAAGGTACTGTGGTCTCTAGAGGGGAACATTCAAGGGTGCCTAAGGCTTGCCCCTAAAGGGACCACTTTTGAAAGCTGCTGGTAAGTCGTCCCTGAAGGAGAACACTCAAGGGTCCCCTACAGGGGCCCCTTTTGCAAGTTGTAGTGGCCCCTTTAGGGTAACGTGTGGTGGTCTGCAGAGGGGAAGATTCAAGGGTTCCTAAGGTTTCCCCTCGAGGGGCCACTCTGACGGTCGCCTATTATCAAATTTCGAAAATTTTAGCCAGTCTCTGCACTGGCAATTTTTGTGGCCTTATCAGAAATTTTTAGAATCTCCAGTCATAAAACCGTTTGTAGATCATTTGTATCTCAATATTATTTTCCCCGCTATGATCAAACCTGCAAGATCATCTCCGTCTTCTTCTCGATGGGCAGCTCGTTCTTGGAGAGGTACGAGTCGAGGGCCCCGTTGCTGGCCAGTTCCATCACCACCATCAAGGGCTCTTGTCCCGCGGCGACCCCGTAGAAACGGACCACGTTGGGATGGTCAAAGTTGCGCATCATGCGCGCCTCTCGCATGATTTCTTTTATTTGATCCTTCGTCAGCTTCTCCAGCTTTGCCTAGATAAACAGCTCGACTCATTTCTGACATCTAGGGGGTTACTAATCTATCTAATTCTGAAGGAATCTCTGAAACTTTTTTAAACTCTCGAACCGCCTCCTCGTCAGGTCATCCCAATGTTTTCAGTTCAAAATTTTCCCTTGTTACTCCTATATTCTTTGATCTTGAGCCGATTTTTAGCTCCCTATCCATAAAACTATGTAAAGAACCCTCTTTTGCGTTTTAAGACAACATAACTTGATCGGAAAGCGATTTTTTTCAAAATTTTTAAAGTATATTCATTTGTAACTCCTTTGTCAATTTGAAAAATGATTGATCGAAGATAAAACGGACCAATTTGATAGCAACCTGACAGGTTTTCTTCGAAACCTTGAAACGCAATGTGCCCATGCTCACTTCGCCAAATGCGCCTTCGCCAAGCTAGAAAAAAAAAGCATTTTCAGATGATTTCTTTTGGATTTTGGGCTTCAAGAACAGTTTTTAAAGGCATAGGGGCAGTAAAAAACGGTGTTTCAGTCCAAAATAGTATTTTGTAGAGCTTTTTATTGCGAATCGAACGGTGAACTTGAAAGTGTATCGAATTTCTTAGTTTTGGAGTAAAAATAATTCAAAGTCGGATAGTAGAAAGTGAGTTGAAAAAGGCGCTTTGCAGTAAAGTTGCTCTATGGACAACAGGGTTTGCCATTTTTTCGGATTTCCGCTTTTTTCTTCGTTTCTTTCAAATTTCAATTTTTTCTGTTGTCACCAAAGTTCTTTCCGTCACAAAAGCTTTCTATTCATGTATAATTTGCAAACTTTGGTCGCAAAAATGCTTCTTTGGTGAAAAATGATGATTTTACACAAATTTCGATTGGGATAGCAATATTTTGTGTTTTCTTTATTATCGCAGTATGTTTTTTGTTTGACTAAATGTTTTTTCAGAGAAGAAACCCTTAATTTGAAGCAGATAGCCGGTTATTTCTCACAAAATGCGAGTCTAATGAGACGTCCGCAACATCGCGAGCACGGCTACTGTAAACAGTTGTCTGCATACGGATCCAAAGCTTTTTTTCAAATTAAAAGGCGGGAACGTGAAATCGAGTTTTTCTTCTAAAGTTGTCACATCTGTAATTTTTTTGAGTACACCGTTGGATTCGCAAAGAAAAACTATTTAAGATACTGCTTTCACCTGAAACCCCATTTTTTACTGCCCCTATGCCTTTAAGGAATAAATTCAAGTTATCAAATTCATAAACTTTTTCTACTGTTCATGGAACGCAAAGAAACTTTCTCTTTTAAAAGTATTTTTTTTTTTCGAAGCCGAAGTTTGTTTTCTTCTAATTTTTTGAAACTCTTTTTTCAAAGTGGTCCTTTAAGCTAGCAGAGAAATATTATCTTGACCTTAAAATCATAGGAGAAGCCGGAAGAATCCTTCACGGGCCCTTCGAGCGTCCGTTATGAATCAAAAGGTTTCCACTAAATGTTCCAAAACGGGTTGCAACGGTTTCCTTTTAACTGCCTTTATTTCCGTCCTTTCATCGGCCTTTATCGACCCTTTTTGGACCCTTTTGAGAAACAATACATGTTTTAAGTTATTTATATTATTTAGCAGTGATTGTGTATGAACCAAAATGTGCTACAGTAATGAAATCGGAAGTCATGAATGGTCGAGACTTGCAGCACCTTTTTTCAAGCTTTTTTAGCCCACAAAGAAAGAAAGGCTCAGAAAGACCGCAAAACGGAACCCTTTTGAAGGCCATTTTGCATTCACTCCCTTTTCCCGACTTTGGCATTGAAAGGCAAGTTTTTTTTTGATCATGTAAGTGCTGGGAAAACTTTTAGAGGCCACTATAGGGTTTTTACGTTTTAGTGGCCACTGTAGTAGTCAAATTAGTGGCCACTTAAGGGGTTAAAAATTGATGGCCACTGTAGAGGTCTAAGTGCTATTACTAGACCACTAAAAATTTTAGTGGCCTCTTTAGGGGTCAATGGATCAACATAACTGCTTCAATATGTTTGTTTTAAAATTATCAGAGTTACTGGAAGGAATACTGGATGAAAAAGTACTGAAGGGGCCACTAAATAGAGAACCTCTATAGTGACCACTAAAACGGAAAATGGTGGCCACTATAGAGGTGGGTTTGGCCACTTTAATGTCCTCTTCAAGTAGTCTTTGACGAGCCTCTATAGTGGCCACTGAAAATTTTCCCAGTGAAGCAATTTTTTCAGATTTTGTCAAGCTCTTTTTGAAACTGCTGCTATCAAAGTTCCCCTGAAAAACGTTCAAAACCTTTTTCTCGACTTTGATCTGATCGTGGTCGAGTTCCCAGGGTTGTCGATTCACCGGCGATTTGATCATCACGTCGGACGTCTTCAAAAAGTTATTCTTCGAGTTTCTCTCCCGGGGGAGGCGATACTTTTGCAATGCTTTCCTTGGTGGTCAAGTGATGCTCGATCATTTGTGAGATGCTGTCGAAAGAATACTTTTCTATCGAATACTTGCTGTTGTGGTGATTGATCACGAAGTGTTTGATCTGTAATAACTACATTTTCGTCTTTTTATATGCCAAAATGTTCCTGAAAAAAAAATCTGAGTTCGAAATCTATTCTATAGAGCTTTCAAGTTATCTTACTGACCAGATATTAATCCCAGCTCACAGGGTTTTGAAATTTTTCCAGACTAAACTCATTTTTTACGCTGATTCCGAAAATGAACTCAGAAACTTTCTAGTAAGCCCTTCAAAGGAATTATAGGAGTTTTAATATTCAAAAAAATAGTTTTTTTCAGTGTTTTTTTCTCAAAAGGTAAACATAACGAGAAATGAAAAAAAGTCAAAAAAATTGATAATAGCTCCAGGGACTCAAGAGTTGTGTACTTTTTTTTCCGTAATCTAATTTTGAGCTCGAATTCGAAATCAGCATGAAAACTGTCTTCCGTTAACTTTGCATCTTTCAAAAGTCGCAATAATCTATCCCAAACAGCCAAAAAAAAAATTTAAGACTGAGCTTCTGCGCTCCATTGATAATTCAAGCCTATCTTCATGATTCCAACTAAAAAAAAAGAAAAGAACCCTCGATATATGTAGCTCTAGCAGAACGGCTATAGTAAATTGAGAAAAAATATTCAAAGCTATTTATCAAAAGTCTAGTCAAGCAGAAATCGCCGAAAAAAGTAATTTTAAAGTTTCAGCTGCAGAAAAATCTGCACATAAAATCTTTTTTAGCCTTATCTCGAATAAAAAACTTCTAGATTTGAAAAGCCTGAGACCACAAAAAGAGCTTAAAATATCTAAAAAGGACTGACGGATTGGTTATCGTCAAGGTCCTTGTTGAACATGACCGACAGGACGTATTGACGTGGCGAGCCGGTGACCGGCTCCGTGGTCCGCACGAGGAAGTCGCCGTTGTTACGGAGCATCGTCTGTGGAAAATTTCATGCTTCTTTCAATGAGTAATCAAGAGACTGATATCCATTCGAAAACTGGGAGCTACACACTTTTTTTGGAGGGAAGGGGAAGCGCAGTTTGAGGGGGAAGCGCATTTTGAGGGGCGGGGAGGCGCAGTTTGAGGGGGCCGCACCCCGGGTTGAGATCCAGCCGACGCATTTCAGAGCCCAAATGATGGAAAAAAACCCCGTTCAGGGAATCAACCAGAGGGGGAAGGTAAAAATTGTTTCCTAGTTTTTGCACTTCAGCCGGGCTACGGAGCTCCGAATTTTCAAGGAATTGACATTTTGCTCACTTTGATGTCCTCGCGGGGAAGCAACCCGTGGTACCATTGCTCCTTTTCGATGGCGCCGAGGAGACTAGCCGACTGATGGGCGGACATTCAAAGTTGCTGCGTTTTGCGATGCGCGACTGTAGAAATAGCTCATTTTCCCAGCGATTCACGTCTTTGTTCTTTATTTTCACGTTGATTTTGCAAATGAACTTTCGAGAGTTTATTGAATAATTTTTGGTTAGAAAATGATCGATCTCATCTTTCATTTTTGCTGTGTTCAAGTTTTTTTCCGGTTCAAAATTGGTATTAATAAGCTGATTATTACTAAAAAAAGACTGATGAAATACGAAAAAAAGTTGAAAAAAAGAAAAAAATCTTTTTCAGCCAATTTTGATCCTATATAAAAGTTTCTTAAAAATAACATTTGGAAAAAAAAATTTTTTTGATAGAAAGTCTATCTGTGATCTCAAAAACCCTACAGGTTAAGTCAGAGAAACGATAATCACTACAAAACATGAAAAAAGAAATAAATATCATGTGTACATTACAGACATTTTTACAAGTTTCATAGCTCGGAGAATATTTAAAAAAACCAACAAAAAAAACACCGAAAATCTTGGAAAGGACACAGTACTTCGAAAAGTACAGACTTCATAAAGCTCTTGGAAAGTTTGAATACAGTCAAAAAAAATTACAAATTTCACCATCAATGCTTTCATTTTGGTATGAAGACTCGAAAAACCTTCAATTTTAACCGTTAATTCCTCAAACAGAAGTTCCTCAAACTTGAAAAAAAGAAAGTTTTCAAAAAATATAAGACTACCAAGACATCAAGCTTCTAGAAAACAGACTCCAAGTTTCCCATTCAAATAAAATTCTGTCTAAAAAACAAAGAATTTCCATTGAACCTTTTCAAAAACAGAGATCATTTCCAGTAAGTCTTTATATCTTTAAGCAGAGGTCGAAAAGGTCGATAATCTTGTTGATATTTTCGATAGTCCATTCACCATCGAATGAATCTCTGGAAAAAACTGGTAAAAATTTCAAATGCTGATGAGGCGAGTCGGCCCCGGGCGACCGCAAAGTGCCCTCGGGCGACCCGATTCTGTCCCTGGACGACCCGATTAACATTGTCAAAAGAGCCGTTTTTCCTTAATTTTTTGACCAGCTTGTTTTTCAGCCATTTTCTAGTTTGCGGCCCAAGTCGCCCGGGGCCCACCTGGGACATCCCGTCAGCAGCCCGAATTTACCATTCCCCTGGAGAAAAGGTCAGAAAACTGAGGCCAAAAGAGGGTCAATGGGAGTTTGATCTTTGAGCAGCAGCCGAGTTTCTGAATTTTCTCATTTTCCATCAAAAAAAATTATTTTTTTGAACCTTCTCTTCAATTTTTCCGATAAATTCTTTGGGTGGCGAGAAACCGAAGAGCTCTTCTTGCTAAAAATCAAAATAATTTTTCTTTTTTTCATATCAAACTCACTTCCTTAACAGTTTTCGGTTTCTGATTCGCTTTTTTTCCATCCTCCGTACAATAACTATTTGTACCCTTGGCATATGGTTTTTGCTGAGAAATTTCAAAAAAAGATTATAAATAAAAAAATGTGAGAGCTACCTCTCGATAATAGGTAACTTTTAGTTCAAGATCCCTCCGCTTGTACGCCTCAAGTATCTTGTTGATGTCATTGATCAACTGAAAAATGAAAAATTTTATTGTAAAAATTATTCGAAGAGGCTCTGGTCACAATAATTTTAACATTTATCAATTAAAAATGATAAAGTGGTTTTTTTCCCTACTTTTTAAAATGAACTGTGCAAAAATTAACTATCGAATTTTTTTATTGCCCAGCCTGGGAAAAAAACAGTTCATTTTATAGAAAAGGAAAAAGGAAAAAACTTTTTAGTGGCCACTATAGAGGCTCGCGAAGGACAACTTGGAAAGGACACTAAAGTGCCCACTAAACTCACCTCTACAGGGGCCCCTATTTTCCGTTTTAATGGCCACTATAGAGGTTCTCTATTTAGCGGCCACTTCAGTAGTTTTTCATTCAGTGTTCCTTCCAGTAACTCTGATAATTTCAAAAAAAAAACAGATTGGACCAGTTATGTTGACCCATTGACCCCTAAAGTAGCCACTAAAATTTTTAGTGGTCTAGTAGTAGCACTCATACCTCTATAGTGGCCACTAATTTTTTCCCCCTTAAGTGGCCACTAATTTGACTACTATAGCGGCCACTAAAACGTCAAAACTCTATAATGGCAACTAAAATTATCCCAAATACCAAGAAAAAAAAAATTATTGCCACAGCTCTGTGGGGTCAGCTGTGTTGGCCGCAACACACCACGACGCAAATAGGAACCATTACCTCACAATTTGGCGAGTTGCCAACAATTCTACTCGTTATTTCTTCCAAATTTTCTTCCATTTTACATAAATTTATATCCCCAATGCGTTCAAACAAAAATTTAATAATATTAAAATAAACCAACACTCCAAATGAACTGTTGCTCGAGTTCAAATCTAACGGTGTTCTGTATATGTACGGCAAACGGCATTGGTTTCACGGGATCGATCGCGTCACACAACATGAAATCCGTCATTTCAACGGCTAATTTCGGTGTTCCGATCGGCATTTTCCGTTCCGTCAGCTTTTGGACTTTGGCGCTGGGGGCTGGGATTTCCTGAACTTCATATGACATTGAAAACTGAATTTTATACGAACTACCAAGCTTTTTTGTGCCAGGGCAAGCTCCGCAGCGGATCCCAGCGATTCTAATGATTCCAAAGACCTTACTCCTTCAGACTACAAAGAAAAACTGGATTTAATACCCACAAAAATATTATAACCTGTGGATAGCAAGACTGAATATCATTTTCGTACTCGATCACGTCCTTTCCAAGAACAGAAACCTAAAAATTTGTTAGACCTGAAAAAAAAACCAAAAATTACCGTTGACACGGATAAGCGAGAGGAAACCGAATTCAGTGACTGAAACTAGCAAAAAATTATATATTGAGAAGAGAAAACTACGTTTGTTGAAGATTTTGAGCTCTGGAAGACATTTATCATTTTTTAAAAACTATATATCTAAAAACCTGCGAAGATTGAACGCTTCCCTTTGCGTTCTCGAAAACCTCGCCCTGTTGTTGAATTTCTTTACGCGTCGCTTTCGAAATGCTCGCCGTCGTTTTTATTAACATTTTGGACTTAAAAATGTTATTAATTCCTGAAATTTAGGTCAAAAATAGTATGAAATGATATACCCTTCGATGTCGCCCCATGACGCTTTTTGGCGACGGCAATTGACAGAAATGAAGTTGAGTTTTAAGACTTTACGCATTTTGAAGTTTTCTGCAATTGATCTTTAATTTTTAATAAGAAAAGAATGAAACAAAATGTATATTCAAAATTAATGGCGTGTTCATCGGAGAAACGGAACATGCTTCAAAACAAAAAATCGTATTCATCGGCGCGCCAAAGTTGCTCCAAAACAGTACTAATTTTTGTTTTGGAGCAATTTACTTGCGTTTCGAAGCAATTTTCGTTTTGTCCGATGAACACGCCATAAAATTTTTTAAAATTTTCTGTACCGTATGTTGAACAGGTGCAAACACTGTATGGCATTAATTAGACGCGCATCTCTGCTATATTTAATTATTCTTTTTAAATTTAAGAAATTTTTTTTCCATTTTACTTCATAGTTTACAGATTTATATATTTTTTCTATGATTTTATCAATTGCATGATTGAAAATAATTCGTTTCCCGCTCGTTTTTGTGATATTTTTCTCACTTTGCAGTGAGAAAAATTGTAAAAAAAAAACCTAAACCAGTTAGTGGGAGGCTCTCCCCACAAAAAAGGTGTTATACTATAGTATTCTACCTGTGTAAACAATATTTTTTTTGCTAAACTGAACAATTTTTCAACTGTCTTTTTCACATTTTCTTTTCGTTTTAATGAATAAATTTGCAGAAAAAAAGTCAGAAAATCGTCGTGAAACGTCAAAAAGTAAGAAATTTTTTTATTTTTTTCTTTTCTATGCGACGTCTTCGTCGTCCAATAATTTCCTCATTGAAATGTGAGTTCAAATAAATTTTTTATGAATGAAAAATTTTGAATTAAATTTTAGTACTCCGGCGCAGAAAATACATAGTTTCGGGGAGAAAAAGACTGTTCGACGGGGACACAACGATTCAGGGGTCATGTGGATGTTATGGGTGTGTTTTTTGATTATTATTATTTTTTTTAATTTTTTGGAGGTTCAATCATGTTGGACTCGATATTTAATGGTTTTCTGGACTTGGTGGAAAAAAGTTTTTCAGATTTTCAGAATCGAAATAACGAAGAGAGTAGAAAAATAAAGTTTTTGGAAAAAAAGGAAAAAAATTATTTTTTTCTTCGCTTTTTTTTCTGATTTAATTTGACGGTTTAGATCATTTACATGAGCTTCTGGATTTTCAGAAATAGTTTGAAGCTTTGGAAGCTATTGAATTATATAAAAAAACGAAGGCATTTTTCTCAGTTTCCATGTGTTTGAATATTTTAAATTACAAACTGAAAAAATTTTTACGGGTCGAGCGATGTGTTCGGTCTTTTTCGGCCTTTTTTGAACGGTATCCAAATTTTTTGAGTCATTTTTAAGCGCTGCCATCTTTCAGGTTATACGGGGCGCTACCAAATTTTGGACTTTTCAACAAAAAAAAAATACTGATGTGGGATCGAACTTGTGACCTAACATACTATAGATTAAACCTCTATCACTCTCATCACGTCCATTCTAAAAATCTCGAAGTTTCGGTCAGAAAAATCCCATTTTTCACTGGCCACTCGTTACAAGTGGATTATCCTTCGTTTCTATCCAACGAGTTTTTTTTTTTGGACGTTCGTTTTCAAAACTGAAAACTGGGTCACCATATGTTGTGTACACATTTTTTTAGATGTTTTGCGCTTTTTTTATATTTTCTCAGATTCAAAAATAGGATCTTAAATTTTATAGTTTTCAAATGCGAATCTTTGAAATTTGTAAAAAGACGGGAGTTTTTCAAGTTTTTTTGATTTTTTTAATGATATCGATTTAACAAAGTTTAATTCTAGAACTTTTTTTGAAAATTAACTTTTTGATTGATTTCCATGAATTTTCAAACTATTTGGAATCGATAATTTTTTTAAGATTTTAAAAATTTGAAAAAAATTCGCACTTTTTTTAAAAATGTGTACGTTTCCTCTCCTACATAGAAAATATTCTTCTCTCTCCTGGGATTCCTTGGAAAATTCGTGAAATATATTTCTCGGAACGCAAATTGGCCGCCATATTTTCACCTCGGCCGCCTTTTCTTTTTCCCTCTTTTTGCCCTAATCTCGCCCGTTCGCCTATTTTCCCTTTTTCGATTTTTGGTTGTCTTTTTAAAAAGTAAACTTCTGTATAACTTCAATAGTTCATTAATTTTCATAATTCGTTAAAAAATTCTGATTCTCGACCCCTCCTTTTTACCATCTTATTTTACAGTTTCTTCAATTTCCCCATGACATTAATAACTTTTTTTTGGACAATTTGCTTTTTTCCGTTCAACCAATAGCATTATCATCATTATAAGAACACTGGATATATTTTTAAAAATGTAAAAATGCAAAAAAGGCGGTCAAGTTAGGCTCGGCATTCCAAGATTAACTTGGAAGTCGGATCCGGACCGCCTTGGGGGTTTTTTGGAGATTTTTTGGAAAGTATTTTTTTTCGGTTTTTGCTGAATTCGATTAGAAACATCTTTTGCAACCGCCTGATTTTTTTTCTTTTTTTTTTGAGATGTTTCAGTTAGAATTCAGTATTTTATGATCATTTTATCTTTTTGGCTGTTGCGGTTTGAAATGGCAGGGTCGGAGACCTGCGGGCGGGGGCAGAGCCAGAGGCTAAGCCCCCGTTCCGACCGGCTTGTCCCCTGGTTTTTATACCCTCCTGTAGTTGTACAGCCGACTGGCAGCGACTTGCGCCATCTTGTAGCCCTTCTTCTTGACGGCGTCTCTGCTCGTCTGCCATGTGGCTCTGCGTCTGCTCTGACCGGCCTGGCGTCGTGCCAAAGAGTTTCCGACGGTTTTGAGTAGAATTCGAGCTTTGAAAAAGGCGCTTTTTGGATAATTGCGAGGACAGAAAAGTTCAGAACTGATTTTGGATTGGAATGGTCGTGTTTTACAAGTTCTTGGCTGTGTTAAACCAACCTGGTGATGGTCTGAAAACCGTCGTTGATCATTTAAAAAATGTTTCAGAAAGATTAACTTTTTGGCTTGAGGAACACTTTTTTTTCATGAGAGAAAAAGTTCAGGACTGGTTTGGATTAGGATGGTCGTATTTTACAAGCTATTGGCTGTGTTAAACCAACCTGGTGATGGTCTGAAAACCGTCGTTGATCATTTTTCGAAAATGTTTCAGAATGATTAGCTTTTTGGATTGAAGAACGCCGTTTTTATTATAGAAACAGTTCAGAACGTGTTTGGATTAAAATGTCCGTACTTTACAAGCTCTTTTCTCATTCAAGCCCGTCCAGACTGTTCCAGGAAACGTTAGTGATCACTTGAGTAATCTTTGAAGTGGCCATTAAAGTATTCCCAGGCATCAGAATATGGAGAAGTTGTGACTCGATTTCTAGCAATTCGAAAGCTTTTTTCTGAGCTTCAAGAATTTATAAACCTCTTCTTTAAAAAAAAAAAAGACAAAAGGGCGGTCAAGTTAGGCTCGGCATCCCAAGATGAACTTGGAAGTCGGATCCGGACCGCCCCCGGTGAAACAGTCCGAGCCCCCGTTCCGACCAGCTTGTCCCCTGGTTTTTATACCCCCCTGTAGTTGTACAGCCGACTGGCAGCGACTTGCGCCATCTTGTAGCCCTTCTTCGTGACGGCGTCTCTGCTCGTCTGCCATGTGGCTCTGCGTCTGCTCTGGCCGGCCTGGCGTCGTGCCAGAAAGTTTGCGACGTTTTGAGTAGAATTCGAGCCTTGAGAAGCGCGCTTTTTTGATGATTGCAACGGTAGAAAAGTTGAGAACTGATTTTGGATTGGAATGGTCGTATTTTACAAGTTATTGGCTGTGGTAAAGCAGCCTGGTAATGATCTGAAGAGATCTGAAGAGCGTCGCTGATAATTTTAGAAAAAAGTTTCAGCCAGCTATTTAAATGAGAAACGCGCGTTTTGGATGATTCCAACGACAGAAAAGTTTAAAACTGGTTTCTGTACTCAAATGTTCGTATTTTACAAGCTCTTGGTTCAGAACTGGCTCCATGAAGTGTAAGAGAAGACGTTATCGAAAGATGGATGCTTCTGTAGCCTAAAATTAAATTCTGTAAAACTTTTCATTACTTTTTTTTTCAATCGACTGGAAAATTCAGTATATTTGGACAAATTTTGGTTCAAATCTTACACTGAAAAGCTTCTGAGAAGTTTCAAAAAAAGTTGATTTAGAGAATTTTTCCGGAGTTTTAGGAGATTTTTGATAGATAAAATTGAGAAAAAAAGCAACATTTTTTTTCTTGAAATAAAGTTTTCGGTAGTAAACGTTTTTCGTTCTTTTTTTCCTGTAAAAAAACGATAATTTATAATTTTTTTCAAGCTTTCAAAAAAATTCTTTAGAGCCATTTTCAACCTAAAAAAATTTTTCAATAATGCAAATGGATTTTTGAAAATTTTTTCTTTTAATTTTTCCAGAATGCTTTGGTATTTTCAAAGTTTATCATTGAAAAAAATCAATAAAAAAATTGTTAAAAAGTACTTTTTTTCATCTATGAAATTATTCAAATTGAAACCAGGGGAATTTACAAATTCATAGTGGAAGTATACCCCTTCCCACGCCAATTTCCTCGACAATAGATAAAAAAACGACAATTCCCAGGAGCGCATCAAGTAAATCAGCACGTCTTGTACAAGAAGAAAAAAAGACGAATAAAATAAAAAGAAAACAAGCCGTAATTCATCAGACGAACAAGTGAATCGGCCCTTTTTTCTCGTTTTATTCCCCTCGCCAAGATCCATTCTTCCCAGCTTTTCCCTTTTTTCAACGCTTTCTTTGATTAGGATAGGGTTTTCAGCTTTTAATGGTGGAGTTAGTATAGAAATTAGGCTTTGAAACGGATTTCTAACGCTTAAATTGGGTTAAAAATATGCTTAAATTTTAAAAAAATGTTCTGAGGAAAATAAAAAATTTGGAAATTTCAGAAAATCAGTTTGAATAAAAAGTTTTTTCAATGACTTTTCCAGGTCCAAAAAATTTCAAAATAGGTTTTTTGAATCAAGTTTTCCTTTTTTTTTAAATTTTTCGAATTTAAAGTTTTTTTAAATTTTCATTCACTCTCTTTTTTTCAAGTTTTTCTTTATTTTCGATAATTTTTTTCTAGCTTTTTAATGGTGAAATTCATGCAGAACTTGAGCCTTGCAATGATTTTATTCTTGTTAGAATTAGTTTAACTGAAAGTTTTTTTCAAAAAAATAGAAAATGTAGATTTTATAACGGTTTCCGTAGCACTTGGAGAAGGAAAAATGTCGGTCGTATTTACCTGAAATTTATCTTAAAACGAAACTTTGAAAAATTCTGAAAAATCCACGAAAATTTCAGCGGAAAACGGCAGAATTATCGGTGAAATTTTTCAAAAAAAAAATTTTTTTTTGATTTTTTCCAATTTTGAAAAATTTTTGTTCTTTACTTTTGACTTTTTTTTTCAAGTTTTTATTCAAATTTCTCTAATTTTTGGTGTCGTTCTTCATTTTTATTCACTCTTTTTTTTTCAAAAGAAAAATTCGATAAAATTATCAGTTATCTTGGCTAAATATTTACCTTTCTAAACAGTTCATTGGTCAATTTTATTATTATTTTTTTGCTTACCTTCATTTTTTTGAGTCAAACAAATACTCCGTGTTGTATTTGTTTGTCCTCCCGTTCTTTTGCCCCCTTATTTGGAATCGGGAAAATTTTTTGAAAAGACCATTTTCGGTCATTTTGTGTTGTTGGGTTAACGCACAATTTGTCCACTCACCCACACGATTTTTTCAGGTTTTTTCGTTTTTTTTTTTCGATAGGAACAGAGTTTTTAAGCTCTGCTATATTTTTTTAACGTTGAATCAGTTAAAAAAAGGATTGCAACAAAAAAATTTCAAAAAAATTTGAGGCTAAATCAAATAAAAAAACTAGAGAAATTGAGTCTTCTTTCTGCTTTTTCTGAAATAAATGATTTTTTTGTAGCTTCTAGAATAGTTTTTATAGTTTAATGAGGTTAAGAGAAAAAAATGGAAGCGAAAATTTTTTTTTATTAACCTCCAATTTTTCACCTGAAAGTATAGAGTGAGCAGAATTCAAAAAAAGCTGAATATTTTCAAAAAAAGCTTGATTTTAGTTTCAGTTTGGACTGTAAAATTTGAAACTGAAGTACAATTCAAAAAAATTTTTATTTTAAGCTGTTTATCTTTCGAAATCTGTTCGAAAGGGGTGAAAAATTTAACTGAAATTGGGAATTTTCCCCGTTTTTTTCCATCAATTTTTACCATTTTTTTCATGATTTTCACCAAAAATTTCTTTTTCAATAACTAGAAAAAGAAGGATTCTAGAAAGCTGAAGAATTTCGAAAAAGGCAATTTTGAAATTCTGCTGTTTTTTTGGTCAAAAAAATCTGTTCGAAAGGGGTGAAAAATTTCACCAAAAATTGGGAACTTTTTCACGTTTTTTTCAGTCAATTTTCATCATTTCTTTTTCTTAGTTTTCTTCAAATTTTCAACTCAAAAAAATAGAAAAAAACTGAAGAGTTTCAAAAAAATTTTGAAAAATTGAGCAGTTTTTCCGCTTAAAAAAACTGTGCAAAAATCTGAAAAAAATTGAGCTGAAATTTGGAATTTTTTTCAGGTTTTTTTCCGTCATTTTTTTCATTTCCATCGAGTTCCCCCCTGAAGGATTAGAAAATGCAGTAAATTAAAGCCTTATCCTTCCATCGGATCGACCCCTTCGAATGAACCGATTTTTGAAGAGGGAAATCTCCGATTTTGATCCAATCGGATCGGATCTTCCGATTTGGATTATTATGTGTATTTTTATGAGATTTCACTCGACTCCCTGCTTTTCAGATCTGTGTCACTTTCTTTTCGCTCTACTTTTTCTGATTTTTGACGATTTTTTGATGGCTTTTGCGAGATAAAAAAGCTTGGAAAGAAAGTCTCCCATTTAATTGTTTTTTTTTTCATTTTTTCTAGAAGTCAAGTGCATTTTTTTACATGCAAAAAAGCACTAGATGAAATTGAACATGGGAAATTTAACCAAAAACTTTTCTTTATGTTTTATTTGTAAGTAGTTTTTAGCACAGCTCTTTGAGAGCCATTCCAAATGCCGCCAAGAATCGAAAAACCTCGCTAAAAAAATTTCCAAGTGGGAAAATTTTTAACCTCCACTATAGGGATTTGAAGTTTTAGTTACCACTATAGTAGTCAAATTAGTGGCCACTTGAGGGGTTAAAAATTAGTGGCCACTATAGAGGTCTAAGTGCTCCTACTAGACCACTAAAAATTTTAGTGGCCACTTTAAGGGTCAATGGATCAACGTAACTGGTCCAATCTGTTTGTTTTGAAATTATCAGAGTTACTGGAAGGAATACTGGATGAAAAACTACTGAAGTGGCCCCTAAATAGAGAACCTCTATAGTGGCCACTAAAACGGGGAATAGTGGCCACTATAGAGGTGGGTTCAGTGGCCACTTTAGTGTCCTCTTCAAGTAGTCCTTGGCGAGCCTCTATAGTGGCCACTAAGAATTTTCCCAGAATGGACTTTCTACTTTCAAAGTGACCTCTCTAGTGATTTCATGCCATTTTTTTGTGGAGAATTAGTTTTTTTAATATAAATGGAAGTGGAAATCCAGTGAAATTTTTAAAAAATTTTACAATTTTTCGTGTGAAAAGGAGTTTTGAAAGCTGATTTTTTTTCCCCAAAAAACTGACGGATGTTCACCCTAGTCCTAATATTTTTTAGCTTGCTCAGAGTCCCATGATCATTCCAGACAGTGATTTTTTTGTATCCGCTGCTTGGATGCTTCTAGAGCCATTCCAAATGCCGCCAAAAGCCGAAAATCCCTGAAAATCTTCTTCCTCGCTTGATGAACCTTAAACTTGAAAAAGTTGCCAAAAAGTTCTTCAAAAACTATTTTATTCCTGTTCCATCAGTAATTTTGAGCGCAGCACCTTGAGAGCCATTCCAAATGCCGCCAGAAATCGAGAAATTTCCTTCTCGCTGGAAAATTTCCCATGGAATCGGCCAACGTGCCAACGTGATTTACGTTTTCCCCGACTTCGATTAGAAAGAGGGAAAAAATGGGCTGAAGAAATGGCCTCGTTCAACCCAATTGACCCGAACATTCTCTTTTTTTTCCTGGCCTGACCGGCGGACACGATTGAGGTTCACCGACATGACATACGCAACATTTTTTTTCCTTGGCCTTGGAGCTATTTTTGTGCCTTTTTCGGTATTTTGTAGCTTTTTTTTGTGTGGAATTGCTTTATGAAGCTTATAGGAAAAATAATCGTCGGTTTTTGTACTTTTTACGGTATTTTTCACGGGGATTTTAGGGCGAAATTGCTTTTTCAAGCTTCAAGAAGATAGAATTTTGAAATCTTAATGGAAATTTCGCTTAAAAAAGCGTTAAGAAAAACAATAATATTGATGAAATTTCTGAAAAAAATTTATTTTTTTAGACCAAGCTTCAAGCTGAGTTTTCTGGGTTATTCTCAACTTTCAGCTCTTTTTGAATTCATTTTTTTCTAAAGTTCCAGACAAAAAAACAGTTTTATTTAGGATCTACGCCATTCCATAGGACTCGGAAAAAAATAATGAAGGGTAAAAAAATAAATCGAAAAAAATGGTCAAGGAAATGACGAATGTACTATGTTTTTTGAAAAAAATCTCTAGGTTTTTTTCTTGACTGAAAGAGTGGCCTAAAAAGTGAACTCAATTGTCAAGTATGTAATGTAAGTTAGTCTCTAAAAAAATGAGGAAA